TCATGCCTGGCCAATACACATACTCTCTGGCTCTCCGTAGGCAACCTTCTACACCTAGGTGTGTCGAGTGCAGTCTGGCTATGATCTGCTGTCTCATGACAGTCGGGACAACAACATGTTCACCCCTAAAGACAAGTCCATCCTGACTACTCAGTTCATCCTGGAACGAGAAGGATGGTCTGATGTCACCGTCCATGTCTCTTTTGTCAGTTGGCCACCCTCTGTGAATTGTGTCTATGAGGGTTTGTAGTGCTTTGTCCTCCTGTGTAGCAATCCTTATGCTGTTTAATCTGTCTGGTGAGATGGGTGCATGAGTGACCATGTTAATGCTCTCTATTTCCTCCTCTATGGAGCCCTGAGGTGCGCACTCTGGAAGATATGCCCTACTCAACGTGTCAGCTAATAGCATGTCTTTGCCTGGCACATACACCACATCTAAGTCATATTTCTGAATGCGCATAAGCATCCTTTGCAACCGTTTGGGTGCACTCAACAGCGGTTTCCTTACAATGGTCTCCAAAGGTTTGTGATCACTGTGTACAACCACTTTACGACCATACGTGTACTGGTGAAACTTCTCCAAACTGAAAACAACAGCCAAAAGCTCCTTCCCTATCTGGGCATAACCTTGCTCTGTACGTGTAAGAGCTCTACTCGCAAAAGCCACAGGCTTACCCTTCTGCATGAGTGCTGCACCTAATCCTTTGTCAGAAGCGTCACACTGTACTGTCAGCTCTTCCTCTGGGCAGTAGTATTTCAGGACTGGAGCCACTGCTATAGTCTCTTTCAGTCTCTGGAAAGCATCGTCATGACGAGTCGTCCAATTCCACTCACTGTCTTTGTGTGTCAGTCGTCTCAGTAAGTCACAGTGATCAGACAGATGTGGGCAAAACTTTGCTAAGTAGTTCACCATCCCTAACAGTCTCTGCACTGCCTTCACATCTGTCGGCCTGGGCATCTGCTCTATGGCCCTAACCTTCTCTGGGTCTATTTTCAGACCGTTGCATGTCAGCTGATGTCCAATGTACGTAGTCTCCTTCTGTTTAAGTTTGAACTTGTCTGCGTTCAACTTAATGTTTTTCTGCCTGCAACGGGACAAAAACTGTCGCAGCTTCTCGTCATGGTCCTGCACTGCTTCTGCTTCCGTGTCTCCTTGACCCGTGATCAGCACATCATCTGCAATGATGTAGATCCCTGCCAGACCATCCAAAACTTGTGTGAGCTTTCTCTGAAACACTTCCGGAGCTGGACTTATCCCCATTGGCATCCTCAGCCATCTGTAGCGTCCAAACGGAGTCGAAAATGTTGTCAGGTAGCTCGACTCCTCCTCCAGTTTCACGTGCCAGAATCCACTCTTCACGTCGCAGACAGAGAACACTTTAGCCTTTGACAGATCCGGCAAAATGTCCTCAATGGTGGGCAATGGGAAGTGGCTCTGTTGTAGGGCTTTGTTTAAGGGTTTTGGATCTGTGCACACCCTTAAATCCCCGCTCTGCTTTTGGACCACAACCATCCCACTTATCCAGTCAGTGTTGCATTCTACCGGTGTAATGATCCCTCTGCGCTGAAGATCTTGAAGCTCCTTTTTTAATGGCTTTATCGTTGCATTAGGGACACGCCGTTTTGGTAACTGTACTGGTTTCACCGCTTCATCCACTTCGAGCCGTAACTCCCCCTCCAAACAGCCATCTCCTGTGAAAACATCCGCATATTCCGCCTTAATCTGATCTATGTCCCACTCCTTGGCTGTTGGGTGTTCTGAAGTAACGATGCTGTCCAGTTTCAGGATGTTTTCATAGTGCACCTTTATGAGTTTCATTGCTTCGCTGGCTCTCCTGCCCAGCAGTGGTACTTTACAGTCGTTGTCAACCACTTGGAACTCCAACCGATACAGTTTCTGATTTCTCGGGTTACGTGACTTAACTTTGCACTTTCCCAATGGCTTTATCTTACTTCTGTTGTACATCATCAGCACTGTCTGTGAGTCCTCCAACTGTGTGTTCGGGCTTAGCATGTGGATTGGCATTACATTACAACTGGCCCCACAGTCGATCTGGAAATTTACCATCTCTTTGCCCATCAACATGCCTGCAAAGAGTCGGGTGTCTCTCACTTTATCAGTGTTTTTTGTAGTTGAATCGTGCGTGTCTGCCTCTGTAACACAGAGAACGTCTTCACACTCATCACTCTCACATGCTGTCACGTTGTGTACATTCGACCTTCTTGTCTGCTCTGCACGCGCCGTGCATTTAACTGCAAAGTGGTTTTCTCTGCCACACTTTTTACATTTCTTCCTGTATGCTGGACATTTTTCCTTCTTCCTTTCATGTGTTCTGCCACAAAACTTACAGTCCACTGCGTCGCTGAACCGTGTCTGGCGCGCAGCTACACGCACAGCATGCACCTCCTCCACTGTAGCTCCCGAAATGGTTTTGCTGTTTTCCCGCGACAGCTCCGCGGCTCTGCAGAGTTGTATGCATGCATCCAGTGTCAAGTTTTTCTCCCGCAGCAGTCTCTCCCTCAAACTCGGGTTGTTAAGGCCACATACAATCCTGTCCCGAAGCAATGAGTCTCTTATTACACCAAAATTGCACGTTCTCGCCAGCAGCCGTAACTCCGTCACATAGGTGTCGATTGTCTCACTGGTGCCTTGGTTTCTCGTGAAGAATCGATACCGCTCCACAGTTTCATTAACGGCCGGGTTGCAATGATTATCAAACTTCTCGACGATGTCCTTAACCGTCCACTGATCCCTCGCCGTGTCGCCCATTAGCGTGTCTAGCAGCTCCCTGCCGCTCACCCCAACAAGATAACAGAAAAGGCTCACTTTTTTCTGTTCGTCGTCTGGGTCCATGGTCAGCTCCACATAGAGCATAAACTCGTCCCTCCAGGTCTTCCATGTCCGCGATAGGTTACTGGAGTCCAACAGCAGCGTCGGCGGTGCTTTAAGGCCCTCCATGGCTCGCAGCGGTGCTAACTCACTTAGCCGCCAATAGCTCACCGCTTCGTCAGGCGTCTCCCTGGGGTCCACTCCGGCCGTGCTGCTCACTCCGCTGCCACCATGTTATATTCTGGTCTCATTCACGACAAACTCCAGAATATCTATTTCCTACCCAACGGGGTAGTAAGGTTTATTAACAAGACTTCACCAACATACAGTCTCTGCCGGCATCCTATAACGGTGCGTACTCTAAAAACGCCCGTGCAGCAACACAACACACTGCGGAACTAACCAAGCCAAACAACAATGCACATCATTACATCCTCGACTTGGTTTTTAATTTCTTCCAGGTGGTGCTCCCCGCCACGCTCCTGAACAGACATTCCCCATCACGCGCTCTGCGCTCCTCTGACCAAGGCCTGCTCGCTGTCCCTCGTTCTAGGTGTCGTACTCGCGGGGACCGGGCTTTCTCAGTCCTAGCACCGTCACTCTGGAACCAGTTGCCACCCTCAGTTAGGCTGTCCCCATCTCTGCCAGTCTTCCAGAGTCGCCTAAAAACCCACCTCTTCCGCTTGGCGTTTCCTGAACGTGTTTGAATTTGGCCCTCTTTTATGTTGATTTTATTTCAGTTTTCATTGGTTCACTCTGTCCCTTGTTTTACACATTTGTCCTGTACTAGAATGTTTCACCTTTTTTTGTAATTTGTAATCTGTAATTTGAATTGCTTTTATTTTCTGATTTATTCACTATATTTAACTTTCTACTGTACCATGTTCAGCGCCTTGGGCTTCCTGACAGGGTTGCGGAAGGCGCTTTATAAATAAAGCTTTGATTGATTGATTGATTGATTGATTGATTGAACTAGTTGTCTCCGCCCACCTGTAAACGTTTGATCCCGCCCACATTTAATCCCAATCCCGTATATTATGTCGATGGTGAAAACATGAGAACTCACTCTTTTTTTTCTCAAAACTTTATTGAAGAAGATGATAAGTATACAAACAAATTGCATACAAAATTGAACAAAGAAGATAAAACATATGCCAGGGGGTGCACTACAGAAATGTTACACACATCCAAATAAATTATAGGTGGTGCAAATAGTTATAGTTTTTAAAGCTTTTTTGTTTAGTGATCTTTTGTTTAGTGAACTAATCAATTTTATGTAAGATAGAGTGTCACTATAATAGTGCTTGAAATCAGGTTTTTGGTTACTATACTTGCATTTGTGGAGATAGAATTTAGCTAGAATAATTAACAAATTTATAACAAAGTATACAGCTTCCTTTCTGTACATGAGAACTCACTCCTCTTATGTCTTGTAAAGGGGTCTTTCCCCCCTCTTGCGGACAAAAGTAGTTACTACAGGCAGCGTTCACAAATGTAAACAGACTCATACAACATACCACATTGAAATTACTACAAATTTTAAATAGTGAGTCTAAATAATGGGAAAGCATGAACGTCTTTACTTATGCATCTATACTTATGTATACTACTTAAGTACTAAAATTAAACAAATCTATGTTAATTAAATGTGTTCAACAACCAGCTAAAGGCTGGCACTGTTAGCAAACAGCACTACAAACATATCAAATCATACGTCATCTGGCGGCCACAAGGCGAAACTAAATCCACGGTAGACTTAATTTTGTTCTTTAAAAAACCAAATTAAGCTATGAATAATATAAATATATTACCTAAGACATTTATTTAGGTACATTACAAGCATGAGTTTCTAGTTTCTAGTTAAACACATCAGACATAACGCTATTAGTTATTAGTTTAAGACCAACTATATCTTTCATACAGATAAAGAAATTACATTTTGAAAGGTATACATGTTTGTTTTAAACAGGATTGTCATTGATGCATTTAGATTTCACAATAAATGTATAAACTACTCAAATAAATCAAACAAAAACCAAATACAAACTAATCAGTAGCCACAATCCCAATCAAAATTGTCCATAGACATTTTATGGTTCTAGCCACAAAAGAAAAAAAAAGAAATAAAATAAAAATTATACCGCTTCGAACAAAACCAAAGAAGTAGAAGAAGACACGGAAATGACGCAAACAAAACAGGAAGTAGAAGTCGACTCCATTTCACTCCTGGCGTTGGTCTCTTGTTCTTTCGTCTTCTGTCATTACCAGATTAATTTGTTGGTTTCTACTTCTTTTAGGCTTAAAATACAAATTATATTTCAAGATGGGAGGCGGAGATCTGGTAAGTAGGCGTTAAACCGCTCAAGATAACACGTTTAGTCACGCAGATACAAGTTTAAGCCAAACTTCATTGAGAATAATTCTGATTAAGATCGTTACCACTTTAAAAATTATTTGTTGAATTAATATTATGGGTCAACATTCTTAGTTTTAGTTAAGATTAACACTTTAATTCGGTGACACTAATTTTGATTTTTATGTTTGTTAATGCAGGATTTATCTCTAGAATATATGTGGTGTATCTAAAACCGTAGTTAGTTTAAAATTAGTGTTATACGAACTTGTACATTGTTTTTACTATATTGATTGTAGTTGTTTCGGGTTACTAACTTTAAAGTTAGTAAAGTCCTAGGACAATTTTTTATTTGTCCTAGGATTTCGAAAACACTTTTCTGAACTGAATATTTGATCATCTCCGTTTGCAGAATTTAAAGAAGAGCTGGCATCCCCAGACTATGAAAAACATTGAGCGTGTTTGGAAAGCTGAGCAGAAATATGAAGCTGAACGCAAGAAGATTGAGGAACTCCAGAAGGAGCTGAAGAACGAACGAGCTCGAGAAGAAATGACCAGATATGCAGAAGAAACTGGTGCCATCAAGTAGGTGTTCTCCCTCATTCCCAACATTAATACTTTGGTGTTATAAACAAAACGGCATAAGTTCATTTCTGTTGACAGAAAGAAAGATGATCGACTGGACTGGATGTACCAAGGCCCCGCTGGTCAGGTGTCCAGAGACGAGTATCTGCTGGGGCGCCCCATTGACAAGCAGATCACCGATCAGTATGAAGAGCCAGAGAGTGGTCCTTCAGCAGAGACTGGTCTCCTACCTGGCTCCATTTTCAACCCTACCACCCCTGCTTCAGACCTTGATATGGCTGCTAAGATTAGGGAAGACCCACTGTTCAATATCTGGTGAGTAAGTCCGCCATTGTCTTGTAGCGTTTAGATTTATGATAACATTTACAGGTGAATTTACTCATGTTTTGTAGGAAACGAGAGGAGGAAAAGAAGAGAGAAATCTTAACCAACCCAGTCAAGATGAAGAAGATCAAAGAAATGGTAGTAACCTTTTTTGTTTTTGTTTTTCTGTTTTAAAAACATACATTTGTCTTCAGTCAACACAAGACAACTAAATCTTTCTATCTCATGATCGGAGAAGCTGTCATTTGTTGGAAAGAAGTGCTGAAACTTGAAAGTGTTTATAAGGAGTTATTTTTTATGAAAAAGTCTAATGTTATTACAAACAAGTTGTTTTTGGTTCCACAGCTGCGGCAAAATCTAGAAAAGAAAGATAAGAAAAAGAAGAAGAAGAAGGAGAAGAAAGGAGACAAAGACAGAAGAAAGGAGAAGAAGCACAAGAGGAGGAGTTCAAGTTCTAGCTCAGATGAAGATGACAACCATGGGTTTGTAACAGACGAACACAAAAGCCCCTTCCACACGAGGGCCGGCTCCACTTCATGCACTCAACCCCAGCTCGACCGGGTTGATTACACACGTCCTTCCACACATCCTTAGGAATGCAGACGAGACTGAGCATACAGGCGGTCTCCAAAATTGGCACAAAGATATCAGTGATGTCGTGAGTGCATCTCCGAGCATGTGGGTGGGGCAAAGAAGTCTGGGATGTCTCCCTGAAATTAATCAAAGGCGGCTGTGAGCTGTGTTGCATTTGGTGTTATCCTTCTCTGCTTTGTCCTGGCGCAGCTCAATCCTGGCAGTGCTGTGTGTGTGTGTGTGTGTGTGTGTGTGTGTGGGTGTGTGGGTGTGTGTGTGTGTGTGTGTGTGTGGGTGGGTGGCCCGGAGGACAAGAGAACGCACGTGCAGCTAATTAATTAAATAATTTGGTTCTGTACCTTTCTCTTCAGCACAGCCGACAAAGGTTTAAGATGGGTCAGTCCTCCTGCATGCTCTTGAAAAATTGTTCCAAAATTAAAGTTGAACCCACATCTTTTTTATCTGTGAATTCAATGTCATTCGGCGAGTCTCAAATAAAAATTTGGGCATCTTACTGTAAAAAAATATATAATTAATGTAAAAAAGAAACTAAATAAACTATGTTCACATCCAGAATCGAACCCAGGTGTTCTGCACAAAAGTCCAACATCTTACTAGGCTAGCAGGTGGAGGAGCACATGAGACGGCAGATTGGAGGATAGTTTTTTGGAGTATTTTGGCTAGTTCCCAGGTTGTCAGCTTTGTGTGTGTGAATGACTACTAAGTAAGTAATCCTTTGTTTACTGATCCTGCTTACATAATGTGTTAGGAATAAGTTTGTTTGCCTCGTGGTGTTCTGGAATGTTCTCATGTCATAGTTACGCTTGATAGTTCTGTCATGAATCTGCACTGCCTTGTTATATGAGAGTGTAGGTCCCTGTTGCCTGTTTTATGCATGTGTGTAGGTTGCAGTGTTGGATGTGAGGTGGTTTATAGCTGTAAAAGTGGGTCGTTTGGTTCAGAATCTCAGAAGATTTGAGCGTTGGTAAATCCCTGAAATGGCCACTAGATGTCCTCCTTGTAACATGTCTGTGCTGGCAGTTTACCCAGGGGGTTTTTAGCTGGTGTGGCCATGTAGACTGGGTTGTCCAGACCAAGGTGATCTGGACCTGCTGATTATTATATTATTTTCTGTTTAAAGGTTTTTTCTCCTACTATGTTGTTGTGTTAGTTTGAACAAATGGGGCAGAATATATTTTATGTTAATCTGTTCTTCCTGTATTATTGTTTCCTTTAGACCACACACACCTACCAACATCCCTGTTAACTCGGGGTAATTCTTAGTGAGTTGAATACTCATTGCTCAGCCCTGCATCATTGTTCTGCGTGCCCCTGTGCATTGCAGGTGACTGTTCACCTGAGAATAAAGAGGCCAAGTTGAAACGAAGCCTGGACTTGTGTTCTTACTGACACCCCAGGAAGACACCCTTTAACTCCCTCCCTGATACAGTCCATCTACCTACTAACCTACTAACAACAGGCAATCTTACAGTGTGTGTAAGACAGACACAGAAAAAGACATGGCTTCAGTCAGAGGTGTTGTTTACTTCGCATTATCCAGCATGATAATGAATTGTGCATGTGAGAAGCTTCCGCTAGCCGATTCTGTCAGCCAATCGGATGCTCCCCCCAATGGGAGGCTTGAATTTGAGCCAGCCAATCAGTCGGCAGTGGGTGTATTGGACCAGTTCTACGTGAAGCAGGTCGCCCCAGGAAGAGGGCTGAAAATACAAGGGTCGCTCACGGAAAAAAAAATCCAGGCTATGCAGATGTGAACACTCCCTACCCAAGCTGGGTGGAGTGGAGCCAATGCTAGTGTGCAAGTCCTTAAAAGTTCTGTGTATGAGTATAAATCTGTGCTGTTATTTTATTTCGCCTTAAATAATACAAATTCTTATTATATTTATAAGTGGCAGTTTTATCAGTTTTTGATCAAATTTGTCTTTTTATCGAACAATTAGTGTTCAGCGTCTGTGTTCTGTCTTCAGGTCGCACTCTCGAGACAAATCAGCCGACACAAAGTCTCGTACCCATCATCCTCAAAGGTACGGCCTACAGGTCAGTGAGATACTTTTTATATGTTCCGGATGTTTTTGGGTCGTTGATAACAGGAATCATGAATTTTTGTTACAACGAATGATTTTCATGCACAAACTAAAGGATTGAATAGAAATATTAAACATGGGAAGTAATTCTCACTCTTGATTATTCAGTATGAATTACTGTGAGGATTACACATGCAAGATTATTTATTTATTTGTTCATTTATGTATTTACCGCAGTAAAAGTAGTGAGACTGATGGTCTTAAAGGCTTAAACAGTAAATTAAACAAATCACATCTCTTAAGTCTAAATGATTTGTTTTAACGTTCAGATGTTTCCTTGCAGCCTTCTGGCAGCAGACATCACTCGGCTTCAGCAACGTCCGGTCACCCAGGGCGACGAGAGAGGAGCCGCTCACGATCTCCCCACAGAGACCACAGGGGCGGTCACTCCTCATCCTCCTCTTATAGAACTGAGAAGAAGGCGGAGCCTCAAGCGTCAAGCCCACGGCGGTACCAGAAGCAAAGGAACCATGTGTCAAAGTAAGAGGCCACAAAGCTTAAAAATCATGTCTCATTAAATCACAATGTTGAACGTAACGAGTCTAAAGAAGTCAAAGACGAATGTAAAACTCTTGGAAATGTGAAGAGCAAGCATCTGTGTGACTAATCTTTGGTTTATGATGAGAAAACTGTTTGAATAACAATCGGTTGGCTTTTTTTTTTTACCACCCACTGAGTTTTTCTGTGTGGCTGTGCCCGACGTAGGAAGCTTTCCACAGAAGAGATGGAGAAAAAAAGGCGTGAGATGATGAACCAGGCCAAGCAGAGGGAGGAGGACCGGGAGAATAATGTCAGGAGGTACAAAAAGCAAGACGAGCAGGAAAAGCAACGGGAACAAAACGCCAAACTCGACCGACATGCTGGTTTTATTCAGTAAGTTGAATCAGATGTGAAGGCTTTTTCGGATTTTCTGTTATTTACACAGATAAGAATATTTTGTAATGTTTGATTTAGAGCTTCAGTAACAGACTTGATGTTTTTGCAGTGACATGAAGCTAGAAAGTGCTGCAAGCTCCTCTTTGGAGGACCGAGTGAAAAGGAACATTCACTCCATTCAGAGGACCCCAGCCTCCCTGGACAACTTCATGAAGAGAAATTAGCTTATTTACTGATTAAAAATGTTAGCAAAGTCTTCGCCAAGCACCCCTTTAAGGTTTTTTTTTTTTAATATAACAACTCAGATAAATCAATAATGTGGCTGGAGTCCATCAAATAAAGACCACATGGCTCCATCCTGTAGCTTTTATTATGAAAAGCAGAATTTACAGTTTGGGTACAATGTTTCTTTCAAAGTAAAATTCAGTTGTTAATCTGTTCTTGCCTCTTAGAGTGTAAATAATCATACTACTGTTGTACAATATGCTGTTTTTCATTTAACAGACTTATAAGAGCTGTTTTTAACGCTGATGTCTTTGTAATATAAGGTTGTTATTTTGTGTAAAACTTAAGTAGAAAAACTATAAATTCAAACCTTTTGGAGCAACTTTGTTGTTGTCTTTATTTAACTGTTGAATAGTAGTAAACAACTGCTTGTTAAACTTTAACTAGCATTTGTGTTTACTACTAGACCGCTGGCAGTAAGATTTTAGGATTCATATTGATTTTAACAAATGCTTACTGTTAGTCATATAATTTCATTCTGGACCCCCACAGCTCAAAAATCTAAATTAGCAACGATTGAGTTTATATAGCCACCAACTGGCCAATCAGTGGAAATGCACCCAAACTGTGAACACTAAATTGTTCTAATGAGCTTTTGTCAGACCTTTTAAAACTATAAACTACAATACAAGATGTAGCACCGTTCAAGTTGGAAAAAATACAAAAAGAAGTGGAACGAAATTGTTAAAAATTGTTTGCATTTTAACATATTTCTCAACTAGTTGGTATCGGCAAACAAGAAATACAGTTTTAGTTAATCAAAAATCCTCTAAATGAGTGTGATTGATTATCTTTTTCAGTTTTACATATATGAAGATGGTACTTATCCTGTAAAATTACAGTGTGCTCAAAGATTTTAAAGCATGTTTAATTTTATTACTCATTTGATATTTTAGTACCATTTCACACAACCATGTGTTTCTTCGTGTCTTGTGACTTTTTCTGATTTTAATTATCTTACATTTGTTTAATGATAATTTTTTGTGCTAAACTTTCCTTACAAATAAGTGATATCTGTGTAGGTGGTAGTGATTTTAAATAGAGATAGATAAACTCAACGTTTAGAGGTATCAATGGCACAAGAAGGTGTGTACTGCTTGGCTATTTTACGTCAAGGTTTTAATTTCGTTTCAACACACCTCAACCAAACTACACTGGTCCTTTCTTCATAACCTACTGTCATCCAATGACAGCATTGTAGAGAACAGAGTGATTTTTACCCAGCCAATTATTTTAAGGCTTCGTGATGACGTAGTAGTAAGTTCGCTTTAACTGTGTTTCCCAAATCGTGTAGTCACTGTGGGAAGCTAGGAGCTAACTTTTAATAACAAATAAATAGTTTATGGGTTTACTACTGGCAAGGATTACACGATAACATCTTCACAATGGTAAGAACATGTATATATTGGATCAACAATTTCCATTTTGTTTTTCAAAATATGAAATTACGCAGTTACAGAGCTTAGTCCGGCTAGTGATCGTTAGCATGCTGCTCTTTGAAAAAAGTCGGCTACCCTAATGTCTCATATCTTTAAAACAATCATTTAAAATACTGTTGTTTGAATCTTTAATGCTACCTTATAACGTTTGTTCCGTGAAATACTTCCGCAGTAGTGAGACATAAAACGTGTTTGCCTATAAGTTTAAAAACCGCTAGCCTTTGCAATGCTAAGTCATCGCAGGAAATGATCATTTTAACGTTCTGAAATTGTCGCAAATACATAAGCGCAAATATGCTTTGTCTACATGTCTTTTGTTCTCTTGGCCAACAACAACACTCAATCAAAATAATCTATTTTCCTCTGTAGTTACGACTTTCTTCTAAATTAATGCCTAAAAATGAGGTTCCCTCTTAAATTTCAGTTCCAAGTCTACACAACGTGCTATGTAACGGTGGGAAACCACTTAATTCATATTAGTTTTTCCTCCCAAACTGTTTTTATATTTTCAAAATTCCACATTTTATGATATCAAATGTTTATTTTGAAAAATAAAAACAAATTGTGGGTGAGAAAAATCTGACTACGGAAAAATAATGTAATGGTGTCACAGAACTCTAATTTACTCTTTAAGTTTAATGGCCTTTTCATATCATTAGTTAAGTGGCTGTACGAGTTAAAGAGAAATGTTTAATAAATAATCAAATTCCACAATAAAATGTCAGAATGATTAGTGAAGACTGCTTGAAATTATTACAAATGAAGTCTTTGATGCTTTGAATCAACTTTCAGTGTTATTCCAAAACTTGTTTTTATTATCATCATTTGACTTGATTTGATTTCACTGTCTCCTCACTCCTTTCTGTAGTCTATTATGTCCTATAATGGAGGGGCTGTCATGGCCATGAGGGGGAAGAACTGTGTGGCGATAGCAGCGGACCGAAGGTTTGGCATTCAGGCTCAGATGGTCACCACAGATTTCCAGAAGATCTTCCCAATGGGAGACAGGCTGTACATCGGTCTGGCTGGTCTGGCTACTGATGTCCAGACAGTGTGCGTGTGTCCACCTCATCATTAATAAGAGTCTTTTCTAAAGTGCGCAGGAGATGCCGTTTGATGGTAAATTGTTGTTGTTCTTTGCGTTTAGAGCTCAGCGGCTTAAATTCAGACTGAATCTGTACGAGCTGAAAGAGGGTCGTCAGATCAAACCCAAAACCTTCATGAGCATGGTGTCCAACCTGTTGTATGAGAGGAGGTGAGTGCTCCGTGTTCTGCAGGCATTTGTTATAGGCTAGATTCTGTTCCTATGTTTGTTATTTATATGCATATTTTATTTTGAAATAACTCAAAACAAAGAAAAAGGGACTTCATGTCATCAGTGACATGAAGGGCTCCAGACCATCTGAAATGTTTAAAGATATTCAGCCAGATTTGCAGTGGCACAAAAATGGTGGCACACCATTTCATGCCCTAAAGATAAATGTTGTGTGAATGCAATCACTGATCCTACTGTGAGCAGTTGTCGCTATTTCTCCAGTATAAGGAAATACTGGTTGAAGTGTTTGTGTGGTTAACCTTGTGTGGAACAGTTTATAGTAAAGCTTTTAATTACATTTAGATTTTTATTCAATTTTATGCTGTTATATTTTTATTCTATTTATCTATTTTGTTTCATTGATCTGTTGTTTTATATGTATTTTATCTGGACCTAAGAGTCTGTCAATAAAGATTATCTATCTATCTATCTAAAGCAGTGGTTCCCAAACTTATTTAGCTGCGCACCCCCTTCTATGTCCCGACCATGTCAATGCACCCCCCCCCCCAGCCCCCACATCGGGGCATGGCTATATATATATATATATATATATATATATATATATATATATATATATATATATATATATATAAGATGTCAAGCTACACAGACAGGGTTAAAAAATTCCCCATCACTTTCATTTTTTAAATAGTAATTAATAAACATTCGATACCATTACAATTTCCTTTGATTTCATTTTAAATAAATATTTAGAGTGCCCAGGTAGAACATAAACAATGCAATTTAACAGTTTTCTTAAAGTAGGAATGTTTAACCTGTGCGGCCAGAGCGCTCTCCTTCCTTCTGCTCTGCGTAAACCTGAGCTGATCACCTACTTGTGCATAATCAAATGTCTATAGGGGACAAGATATAGCCATGATGTTCACTTTGACCTCAGACCGACTTATTGCTGTTTTATGGTGTGGCTGAATCTGCGATCCGCTGTCATGCGGACTGGAACAACAAATGCTGCAGTAACGTGAAATGTGGTCAGGTTCATGAGGAGTCACTGGCTGGAGCGGACCCTACTCATCCCAGAAGCTAATATCTTAATTTGACCTTGAATGAAAAATAGCCTCTTAAAAGTTTTTATCACGGTGGAGGCAGCGTTCATTTCTGCCTTCAGTCTGACAGCGCGCCGGAGTTAAAGCAGCGTGTGCGCTTATTGAATCTGTGTGTGTGCGCGCGGCACAGCCGCTCCAGTCACCGCGTCTCGCGCTATTTAAACCAATGTTGTAAAATGACTTCTGCCCAGCCCAGATGTGCTCACTTGTGCACACGTGAGCCGTGGTTCAGCCGGAACGCGTCTGACCTCTGACAGACGCACTCTGAACTTCAGATCTTCAGCGCGCTGTCAATATAGCCTGAATGGGAATCATTTCTTGTTATTTTGTTACATCCACAATGTTCTGTGTGTGAGGTTTACAACGTCAGAACACCTGCATGAGACAGGTGTTAATTACAATCTGCCAGAATGACTCACCACCTTCAGATTTCTCCAACATCGTTAAAAATGATCAAATACTGAACATATCGGCGTGCGCAGGCCAGAGTGCTGAAGCTCGGCGCATTGTTATTATGAAGCTAGGGCACATGTGGAGGACACGCGCTCGCGCGCAAAAATATACTTGTTTTCAATTACATTTATTGTGCCCACTTACTTTTTCTTAGGCCCACCCACAAATGAGTTTCTGGCTATGCTAATGGTGACATATGACAGACTTCTCTGAGCTCCGCAGCCATTACACTTTTCACCTCGCGCACCCCCTAGCGGCAGCTCTGGGGGTGCGCGCACCACACTTTGGGAATCCCTGCTCTAAAGGATTACATGATTAATGTCTGGTATTTTTTAAATCCTTAGGTTTGGGCCATACTACATTGAGCCAGTGATTGCTGGACTAGATCCTAAAAGCTTTGAACCCTTCATCTGCTCCTTGGATTTGATTGGCTGCCCCATGGTGACTGAAGATTTTGTTGTGAGCGGGACCTGCTCGGAGCAGATGTACGGCATGTGCGAGTCTTTGTGGGAGCCCGACATGGTTAGTGTTCTCTGTTCGCCATGGAGGAGTGTTGATTTGTCTCTGGTGGGCATATGGAGGTCCGTGTGCTTGCTCTGCCATGTGGATTATGATTAAAGCGAGTTTTTACCCGAGTTCATGTCAGAAATATTTACTTAAGGAATAATGAGAAATGTTGGTGATCCTGCAGGAACCAGAGGATCTGTTTGAGACCATCTCTCAGGCGATGCTGAATGCTGTCGACCGGGACGCCGTGTCCGGTATGGGAGTGGTCGTTCATGTTATGTAAGTAAACTCCGGTCTGGTTGTCATTCTTACAGGTGTTTCCGAAAGCAGCATGGAGGCGGTCTGGTTTCTGGACAGGCAGCCATGTTTCCTTATTTCTGCTCCCACGAGAGCACCAAATGATTAGAAATTTGACACAAAATGTTTAAAAATAAAAAATTATGCGAACTATCATCCACTGTGTGAACTGATATTGTCATTAATAATAAAATAAAATCCAGCAAAAATAATACAAGTTTTATTTTGAAATCTACCGAATGAACTTCCCTCAAACACGTCTCACTTCCTGTCTGACTCATGTCATTTCTTTAACTCCATGATGATCCACATGCAGCATCTGGACAAAAACAGACTTAATGCACAAACTTTCGGCTGCCCCGCATGCCAGATCCGCTTGCACTGTGACAGCTCTGTTTGGACTAAATTATTTTTGATCTTTGTGGAAGCCATACGGAACCCGGACGCATACATTCCGCGTTCTGTTTGAAATTGACTTCACGTTGTTTGTGTTACTGATGCTGTTTGCATTTACTCCAGTTGCCCTCACAGATGGCTTTTGTTGTCTATTTTTTCCCTTAATTCTTTCACATTTATTACTTAAAATGTATGAAAGTAAAATGTCTTCTTTTTTTCCAGTTTGGAGATTTTTGTCAGGTTTCCAAGTTTTATACTTGGAAACCTTTTCATAATTTAAATCATTTAATCGAGCCAGTATGCGCTAAAATGACCCTTTACAGGTTTAATGAAATGCTACTCAGACACCCACCGCCCTCTGTGGCCAGAACACCACACTTGCAACTTCAGACTGGCGGGAGGCCACCTGTGTATTTGAAATTGGGCTGACATACCTGGCACTGCAGTCTTCTTCTAGCACGTTTCCTGGATGTTTTAGATCATGAACTCATCTGATTTGTTTAATTTAGAGATGAATCACTCCTGTGGACAATAATGAAGGCTGGGGAGACATTTCAGCAGTTAGATTTAGGTGTTAAAAAGATGAACACACAGTGAGGACATAAGTTTCACTTTTGCTTTGACCACAGATAATAAGGGACACTAGGGGGCGCTAAAAGCAAGCAAAACTGCCAAGTGTGCCTTTAAAGTCAAAATGCTAAAATTAAGTTTGAGCTGAACATAAAAATATTGAGATAGAAGTTGTAAAGAATAAATGTTAAGACAAAGTTGGTGCACACAGAAATGAGTTTGATTTTGTTTAAAAGGTAATTCTAGGTCTGCTGAAATTAATATTCTGCTTTTTTTTTCCCTGACAGTGAAAAAGACAAGATTACCACACGAACCCTGAAAGCCAGGATGGATTAGAGCTTCTGTTTCTCCTCACTTATGAAGTTTTGTACAAAACTTATTCCCAACACCCTGTTTTCTTACTGATACTGTTCAATAAATAAAAATGGAATTAAAGAAAAAATGTGTTTGTGAACATTATTGGCTGATTATGGGCTTGTTAAAAGCTTGTTGCTGCTTTTTACTTGGCGTGTGAGATCTCTGCTGAGGTCACATGATCAGCTGCTTCTTTTATTCCCATTTGTTTCTAAAAAAAACCAAATTTGCTTGTATGAGATGAAAACCCTCAAACTACACATCTGGTCAGCCACTGCATTTAAATGTGTCTTGCTATCAAATCAGCTGACAGGCAGGTGAGCTCAGACGTGATCTTTGATTAAAAGTAAAATGAACCAGGAGTGAGAATTCAAAGTAAAACTTCTCCCGTGTATTTGTGACCAAATCCTTTTGAAGTTTGAAGGTGAATAACAACAAACACTGTAAAATCCTTGAATACCATTAAAATCAACTACTGGAGATGGTGTTTTTAATACAAAGAACTGAGTATTGAATTTATATTTCAAAATAAAAGCATTTTGATAATCTGAAATGATTTTTCACTGAAAACTGCAAAAATAAACTTAAGATAGTTACATGAAAGCAACCCATAGTTTATCTTTCTGAAGTCAAGTCCTGTTCAACAAAACCTTTACAGGGAGTGCAGAATTATTAGGCAAGTTGTATTTGAGGAATAATTGTATTGAACAACAACCATGTACTCAATGAACCCAAAAAACTCAATATCAAAACTGAATGTTTTTGGAAGTATTTTAGTTTTAGCTATTTTCGGGTGATATCTGCGTGTGCAGGTGACTATTACTGTGCATAATTATTAGGCAACTTAACAAAAAACATGTATACCCTTTTCAGTTATTTATTTTTACCAGTGAAACCAATATAACATCTCCACATTCCCAAATATACATTTCTGACATTCAAAAACAACACAAAAACAAATCAGCGACCAATATAGCCACCTTTCTTTGCAAGGACACTCAAAAGCCTGCCATCCATGGATTCTGTCAGTGTTTTGATCTGTTCACCATCAACATTGCATGCAGCAGCAACCACAGCCTCCCAGACACTGTTCAGAGAGATGTACCGTTTTCCCTCCTTGTAAATCTCACATTTGATGATGGACCACAGGTTCTCAATGGGATTCAGATCAGGTGAACAAGGAGGCCATGTCTTTAGTTTTTCTTCTTTTATACCCTTTCTTGCCAGCCACGCTGTGGAGTACTTGGATGCGTGTGATGGAGCATTGTCCTGCATGAAAATCATGGTTTTCTTGAAGGATGCAGACTTCTTCCTGTACCACTGCTTGAAGAAGGTGTCTTCCAGAAACTGGCAGTAGGACTGAGAGTTGAGCTGGACTCCATCCTCAACCCGAAAAGGCCCCACAAGCTCATCTTTGATGATACCAGCCCAAACCATTACTCCACCTCCACCTTGCTGGCGTCTGAGTCGGACTGGAGCTCTCTGCCCTTTACCAATCCAGCCATGGACCCATCCATCTGGCCCATCAAGACTCACTCTCATTTCATCAGTCCATAAAACCTTAGAAAAATCAGTCTTGAGATATTTCTTGGCCCAGTCTTGGCGTTTCAGCTTGTGTGTCTTGTTCAGTGGTGGTCGTCTTTCAGCCTTTCTTACCTAGGCCATGTCTCTGAGTATTGCACACCTTGTGCTTTTGGGCACTCCAGTGATTTTGCAGCTCTGAAATATGGCCAAACTGGTGGCAAGTGGCATCTTGGCAGCTGCACACTTGACTTTTCTCAGTTCATGGCGGGCAGTTATTTTGCGCCTTGGTTTGTCCACACGCTTCTTGCGACCCTGTTGACTATTTTGAATGAAACGCTTGATTGTTCGAGGATCACGCTTCAGAAGCTTTGCAGTTTTAAGACTGCGGCATCCCTCTGCAAGATATCTCACTATTTTTGACCTTTCTGAGCCTGTCAAGTTCTTCTTTTGACCCATTTTGCCAAAGGAAAGGACGTTGCCTAATAATTATGCACACCTGATATAGGGTGTTGATGTCATTAGACCACACCCCTTCTCATTACAGAGATGCACATCACCTAATATGCTTAATTGGTAGTAGGCTTTCTAGCCTACACAGCTTGGAGTAAGACAACATGCATGAAGAGGATGATGTGGACAAAATACTCATTTGCCTAATAATTCTGCACTCCCTGTAGTCTTGAAATCAGATTGTCCTGCTTCATCAGTTGTCTCAAACGTTGACCTTTTCTGTGATCAAATGCATTTATTTTATAAAGATCTCCGCAAATAGGAAGATGCAAACTATTGAATAAACCAGACAGAACAAGATAAAACTCCCTTTAATATGCAATGAATCATTTTCAAGTAACCTTTTTTCCTAATGTCTGTAGGTAACAAAACAATACTGTATACAAACACAAAATTGCTACATTAATGTAAACAAGATATAAAAATTATCCTTATGGTAATAAAACAGGTGTTTGCTGCAGAATTCCCCTTTTTAAGTGACTTTTTTTAGACCAACTTCCACTGAATGTACGGTAAAATTTTTAAAAATATTCAGAAACATTATGGCAACATAACATTCAAACACTTTTTGTCCTTTTGTTGCTTTAGTCCCAGCACTCAGATACTAAGTTTAGTGGTTTGATGTTACAACTGGTGTAGTCTCATGAACACGTCAGCCATGCATTTTCGAGATTGCATTCTTTATACACCGTTAAATATTAATGTGTTAATTTCCAATTTGTCAGCAGTACGTTGAATTATTTTGTCAGAGAGAGAGAGAGAGAGAGAGAGAGAGAGATGCCTGGTGGCGACTGTCATGCATTCTGGCTGTCCTGTGTCCGTTTGTCTAACAGAAACCATAAAAACAAAAATGGGGGAGACTCTACTGACAAACTGGTGGCTGCTGAAGCTCAGACGCTCATTCAAGGCATTAGTGAGACAGTTTTCGTGCTGGCGTGAGGAGCAACAAGGTGGATGAGGAGTTGTGGAGAGCAGATATCCAAAATAAAAGGAGTTTCACAAGGTGAGGTGACGGTGGTGGTGTGTAACAGGCTCAATGATTTCCTCCTTCCAAACCGCCGCCGGACCAAACCAGATGCTTGTTTGTTTTGTTTTTTTAAAGGGAGACAGACCAACATGGAGAAGTAACAGAGTGGCATTTGACAGAAGTACGGCTGGACTGGAGTCTATGATAAGATGTTGGACATGAACTCGTAGAATCGTTTGGAGTACTGCTCTGGGTTCACTGTCGAGATCTCGGCCCCCGCCTGGTAACAAATCAGAGGAAAACACACACATGTCCAATCAGACAGGTTAACCATTCAGAGGTTGTTTTAAAGGAACTAGTTAAGATCTAAAATCTAAATATCAGTGTGGCAGTGTGAGCGTCCTGTCACTGTGTCCCGATTGATCATGCCCGCCCGGGCCCTTGTTTCTCCACCGTGCCACATCAGCTCAGTGCCCTAATGGTATGAGTGTCCGCCCTGGCACTGGGAGATCGGGGTTCAAAGACTTTGAATAAATGGGACCCAATGCCTCTCTCTGCTTTAAGGGGTTGGATTTTGGGGGGAGGGGGTGTAAAACCACCAGATAGTTCCCGAGCGCGGCCGTGTCAACAGCTCACCGCTCCCCCCATGGGGATGGGTCCAATACAGAGATGTAATTTCACCACTGTGTGATAACTATGGGACTTTGACTTTACAAAAGCCATTTGTACTTCTGGTCTGTTTAAACTATGTCCATTCACCCACTTATGCCATGGGGAGCGCAGCCCCAGCAGAGGCCCAAACCACCTTCTCCCTAGCAACCTCCACCAGTGGGATGTGGAGGCATAATCCCTACAACATGTCCTGGGAAGACCCGCAAGCCTGAAACACCTCCCCTAGGAAGTGTTCTCACCAAATGCCCAAACCACATCAGCTGGCTCCACTCTGAGTCTCTCCCAGATGTCCGGGCTCCTGCCCTCATCTCTAAGGCTGAGCCCAGCAACCCAATGGAGGAAACTCATTTCAGCCGAAGTGAGGATTAGGGTGAAGATCACCTTTGCTTTCTGGTTTAGATCCCTCTTCACCATAGCAGACCGGTTTAGCGTCCGCACCGCTGTAGACGCTGCCACGAGCTGGTTAACGATCTCCAGGTCCCTTCTTCTCTTACTTGTGAACAAGACCCTGAGATACTGAAACTCCTCCACCCTTTTTCCAGTCGAGAACCTCCACAGCGAGGGGTGAAGGTAACAGTTGGATGGAGCCAAGAGAACCACGTCATCTACATCAAGTTTAGTTTAAATCCGTCTAAAGTTTGGCGCTGACAGCTTGTGTTGCACCAACTGGACCTGCCCAACTGGATCACGGAACAAAGAGACGATTAAATAAAAAGATCCAAAAGGCTTCATCACTAACCCCGTGTTTCACAGTTTTGGCAGCATGTGCAGCTTTTTTCTTAGCGTCGTAGTGCGTGAGGATGTCGATGATAGCCATGAAGTAAACCTCCTTCTTCACAGCACCTGGAACAACAAAAACAAAGTTTGACCCAAAAAAATTAAAAATAAAAATACAATAAATAAAAGGCACTCGGGTTTTAAAATCCCGCCGCTCACCGTCGTGGCTCTTGATTGCGTAAACGTCCACGGAGGAGTCAAACTCCCCAGGGCCGAAGAAGCCCCCACAGTTCAGAGGGTTCCCGGGACTGTCGGGAGGCGTGCCGAAGGAGCCCGTCAGCACTCCTCCTCCCATCCCATCGTTCTCCAAATCCTCCTCCTCTCCTGTTCCCTCCACATCCATCTCCTCCTGCTCGGCCCGCTCCACGTCGTGGATTCCCACCAGGAGGCTGTAGTCCATGATCTTCAGGGTGGCCAGGAACTGAAACACCAGCAGGTGGGGTAAGACACTACCTGTTAACCTTTCAGGTTAACTGCATTTGTGTTCTGAGCAGATACAAAAACACGGATCTGGATCTTACCTCCACATCCCGCTTTAACTTCTCCAAAAAATATTTCTTGTTGTCGTCTCCTATCTGCAGTTTGTGTCCTTCATTTAGGAAGTCGTTGTCTTTAAAAGTGGGAAGTTCTTTAGCCTGAAGAGAGGTTAGATGTTAGATACAACCTGCTCCTAACCACTTCATTTAGACGTCATCTGACAACTTTGTCTGAGGGGTCAGACTAGGAAGGGGCAGGGGATTATTTTTGTCTCAACTGTCAGTACACAGGAATAAAAACGTACCTTCTCTTTGTCACTGGCTTCCCTCGAGACTGTAGAACCCTGAAAGCCATGAAAAAAAAAATAGAATTAAAAGATCAATCAGAAGCAAAACAGATGCTCATACTTAGGCTGGATCTTCTAAAACTCTCAGTTTTTGTCTGTTTTCTACCTGGAATAAATCAGGAATCATTTCTACACAACGATGAGCCGTTCCAAGAATGAATGAATTACATTTACGTGTTTGAGTGCTCAGGATTTGAAGAGAAGCAACACAAAGCAGGTGGTGTGAATGGACAGGTGTGCAAAACCAGACTAAGGGAACGCTCCTCATGTCAGAGCGAAGCTAAGATCTCCTCATGTTAAAAATTATTGAGTAGTTTTTTTTTTGGTAAATCATGAAGATGTTACAAGAAATCTCAGATTATGAGTTTACTTTAGGTCAATGTCTGTAAAATTAAGATGAAAGGGTAATTGTGAACATGGTTGAATCCTCAAGTTAGTTAAAAATGAAATGTTTGTCCTAGAAAGATTTCCTCATGAGACGTTTTGCTGAGAAAAAAAAAAAACAACCAGAACATTAAAATATGTATTCTGTCTGGAAAGAGGAATTGTCACAGTGCGAGTAGAAGCGTCACCCTGAACACCACTCTTCAGCTCTCTGCTGACCAGAAACCACATTTTGTGGAGCGAGTAGGTGCTCTATAGGGGGCGCTCTTTACCTGCTTTACAGCAGAGTGAACTTTGGCACGGCCTACACTGGTTTGAGCTAAAAGAGGCTACAAAATCACAGACTGATGGTGACCTGGCTTTGTTACTACTGGACTTGTAAGTAATTATTTTTTGTCCAACAGTGTTGTGTCATGTTAGTGTAAATAAGTAAGTAATTGGAAGAAAGAAAGAAAGAAAGAAAGAAAGAAAGAAAGAAAGAAAGAAAGAAAGAAAGAAAGAAAGAACATTTTATAAAGCGCCCCTCAAAATAAAAATCATGAGGTGCTTCACCAGAACAAAATATTTAAAGTGACTGTGTGTATTTTCCCTGGCAATAGGGGGCAGTATACACCTACATTTTTGCAAGCAAGTATTACTGTTGTGTTCAAATAAGACCTTACCAACGGATGGCATTAGGGTCAAAATCCCTGGGAGCACAACCTCCAGCAAAATAACAAGAGCACAAGTTTCCCTTTCATCACCGGCAACGAGTGAAGAGGTAAATGTGTAAAACAACGTTCATTAATGCTGAAAGTTTTGTAACCATTTCTTACAAATCAGTAAATGCATTTTGTCCTCACGGGCTTCCGCAGAAGGAAACATGGCATCCAATATGGCATCGCCCATAGGGCTGTAGCGATGCCTCGATGACGTCGACGGCTCGATTCGAAAAATTCGTCGACATCAGATCCGGAAGTCGACGCACCGCGCCCACTTGTTGCATCCCCAGGAGTTTGTAAATAGAGGAGGAATCTGCCTGTTTTTCCTCTAGTTCGCCCTCTTCTCCGCCTTCACCAACATCTCCACCAAATACCGAAGACCCAGAACAATGTCTGTCCGCTACTAGATTCCTTTCCTGTTTTGCCCACCTTCGTCTCCCGGCAACGGACAACTTCCGGGGTCAGATGTGCTGCTCCGTCTCTAGCGCAGATGTAGAAAATCACCGGGAGCGTTTCTCCCTTCATTAAGGAGCTTCTTTCAGACATTAGGAGAGCTGTTTTGGTGGTAGCAGTCTCTCCTCCATGCTGTTCTGTTTGCTGGGTGTTTTTGGTTTATTTAAACATGGTAACTTGAACTTAATGTTGGTAAAGCTACTGTTAGCATTTTCGCTAACAGCTTCTTGCGTTGGGATAAGCTGTTACGTTTTGGTTTAGAGTTCATCTTTTTGTGGTGTAGACCTCCCTTTTATTACATTTAGAGTGTTGTGGGTTTTCAGTTTAGTTTAAAATATCACCTGAGTTTGGTTTAACCACCCAGGTTAGAGTTTGGACCTTTGGAGATCCTTATTTTCGTCCAGAACCATGTAATCTTTGCCCAGTGGGACATCCCTACTTATTTGTACTTTTGTTTTAATTCCCCACAGGCAGAATTAGTTTTATTATTCCCAACCTGTGGATGGAAAGATTTATGTTTTGTTGTAGTTGTAAATAAACCTGATCATAATTTTAACTTTTAAATCCCATGTTACTGTCCCTTCCTTTTTGCACACGAGCCAAACTCCCCAGGAAGGGTGGTAACACCACTCGCCTCACGCTTATAAGTGACAAAAACAAAGCAGCATGGAGACACTCCGTCTCCAACCACCTCTCAGGCAGCAGCCTGCACTCCCAAGTTCTACACGTCACCAAAACATAACCAACCGCAACACAATAAACGCAGTGTTATACAAAATGGAAGGCCTGTAGTGTTTATTCTCTTACAGTAACAATTTATCTTTTTTTTTGAGGAATTTATTAAGAGATTTTTTGGTTTTTATTAACTGTGCAACAGAAAAATAATCATTAGATTAATTGTCTAAATAGTCATTAGAATAGTCGTCTATTCGATAAAATAATCGTCAGAATAATCGTTTTAAAAATAATCGTTTACCCCCAGCCCTAGCCGCCCACAGACTTAGACCAGCTCCCATGTATTTTAGAACAGATTTTTATGGTTATATTTTATATAGTTTTCAACAACTGGGCATCTTTAAAGTCATTTCAACAACATTTTAATGGCTATTTCAAGAGATTAATGGTAAAAATGACACAATGTCACTTTAAAATGTAAAAAGGATTAAAAAAGAAGAGATTAAAAGGTACAATTAAAATTAGAAAAAAATGTGATAAAAATGTAAGGAAAGAGAAAGGGGATAGGAAAGAGGGAAATCAGTGGATCCCGGGAAAAGGTGGAGTTGGTGGAAAGAGCAGAATAACCCCCAAATTCCACTACCTCCGCTCCGCTCCGCTGCGGTCCGCCCCCGCCTTCCGCAGCCGCTCGCTTCCGAACTCAATTTTTACTGGTACGCGCTCTACAACGGCTCCGCTCCGGTGCGGAGACCTGAGGTGGGCAAACAAGCATGCGCAGGATTTTCAAGATCTTGCGATACAGTCCGAGCAATAAACGCGGAAGTTAGATCCAAACACCCGTTGTGTGGGAGAAGCATCGGCATGAGCTGTTTAATCTGCCCATCATTTGTGTTGAGAGATCAGCAGTGTTTGGATCAACAAAGTGTGACTACTTTGATAGCGGAAACTGTATTTATGGCTTACTTTTGTGCATTTAAACTTCAGCCGCCATTGATAGTTGTTAAAAGTTGTTAAACCTGTGCATATGAAACAAAAAACGCCTTTTGTTTGTCGATTTATTGTGAAAAACGGAAATTGTGCTTGCTCCTTTTCCTGTTGGGCGGTTGTGATTTCTGTCCATTTACTGCGGAGGTGCTCCGGCGTCCGGCAAAAATAGGATCGATTCTATTTTTGCCAGACGCCGGAACAGAGGGCGGCGCATGGCGCCGCACTGCCGGAGCACGGCCGCGGTAGTGGAATTGCTCTGATTGACTAGAACGAGACCGATTTTGCTCCGGCGTTCGTGTCGGAGCGGAGCGGAGCGGAGGTAGTGGAATTTGGGGGTAAGGAGAGGGTTAGCTTGTTGTTAGTGTTAGGTACAGCAGGCTGCTGCCATTGTTTACAACAGTTGTATTTCCATTTTCAACCAGTAGGATGGAGGAACAGAATACTGCTCACTCTTACTTTAAAGAGTAAATTAATGATGAAAACCTTACAAAAATGAGGGACGGCGTGGTCAACTTCGGCTAGTTTTATTACAGTGACAGAACTGAAATGACTCATTCTGTAAGGTACTAAAAATGCCCAAAATGAAACTGCTGAAATCACTTTATGTGAGAGAGATTTTGTACAAAAAATAAACCTTGTTTTGTATTTACCACAGAGATATTATAACAAAAAAAAAAAACATAAATCCTTTAAAGTGACTCAAATGTTCTGCTAGTTTTTCTGTAACTGAATCTGCTGCATAGCTTGAATATATTGAGTGCTTTGTACCTTTAGGTCGTATTTGCGGTGCACGGTGAGGCGGTGGCTGAAGACGTTCCGGGTCACCACCATGTACGTCTCCACGCCGTCCACCGTTAGTCTGTACATCCCCAGGAACTGAGGCAGCAGCGTGTTGCCATGACACTCCACTATAAACTGGAAACGTGGTAGTGCGGAAAAAAATATTCAGTCAGAAAACTGGTTCTGCAGCACTGCATCATTTTTTTGGAAGTGAAACTGATTAGATCAAGTGATCAGATATTAAAGCTGCGACGTTGATCGCACTATGAGTGGTTCTGGTGAATCTACCTGGTGATACTTCTTTAAGATGTTGTGCATCTCAGCGATGTCTTCACTGGAAACTGTTTTGATAACAAAGCGGTGGTCGTAGCTCGTCAGGAATCGGTTCCCAAACCGACCCTGGGAATCGCTGTTGAGCGGTGCGCTCCGTGTCAGAGAGTTCTGATCGAATGAGAGAGACAGAGGAGAATTATTTATTTATTACACCCACAAACATTATTGTGGTCATTCAATGACTCTTGTGTTAAAGGTTGGCCACCTGGTAGTCCTGGTCATCGATGGAGAACCGCTCCCTCAGGTTCCTGAACACCATGGGACAATACTCTTTGAATTTAAAGCGACTCGGTAGGTTTTCTCTGACGGGAAGGAAAGAGAAACACGGTGAGTTGAACAAATAGGCGCCCTACTGAGAAAGAGGAAGAAGAAAACATGTTGGCATGACGATTGTTGGACTTATTTCTGCTATTTACATCCTACAGAATCAGTAAAACAATGCAGAGCTGACATTTAGAGTCAGGAACTGTGAGTCATAACAGTACATGTTTTCTGGGCTTTCTCATCTACCCGCTGCTCTGCTCTCTCCTGGCCATAAAATCAACGCAGCCTTCTGTCGTCAAAGACCAAGGTGGGCGGGGCCATGAATGCTCATTTTCCTAGTGACTGGCTTTTTCTGGACCGATCATTTTCTAGACTATTTCAAAAAGAACAAGCAATACACGACTTCTCAGTAATCTTTTGGATTAAAGTAAACTGACAATGAGAACGAGTAACGATGCACCAAGTTTTTTAACCGAGTTATAAGCACCAATCAGATTAGATAAAACTTTGCCTTTCCTAGCAGATGTCTGATCAACACCTGTAAAACTGACTGATTTATATAGATTTTTGTGTGTTTTTTGTTTGAAGAGCGGTGGCAGCCTTACTTGGGTTGAGTACAAAAGTAAATCCGTTGTAATTTTGTTTCTGAAAGTTTCATAAAAATCAATCCAGACATTTTGCCAACATTTTCTAACTTTGCTGAATCTCTCAAAATAACCCGGTGTCACTCTGCTTTCTCGTGGAACCCGAACCGGCTGCAGGCCGGAGGCCCAGAGGTCTACCGGACACGACAGAGGGATTACACGTTTAGGCAGGCCCAAAAGAGCTGGCGGGGGTTAGCTACCGCCCATGTAACCCTAACCCAGATAAGCAAAGCACGATGACACGCCACTGACCAATTCAACTAGAGGGTACAAAACCCCACACAACTCCTAGGTGTGTCAGCAGTAGTGCAGGGTTTAACCTGGCTAATCATTTACTGATGTGATGTACTACTTACTTGTTAAATAGGTGGTTGTCCACTTTGATCTTACTGTAGGCTTTAAAGTCATCTGGCATCAACATAACTGGTACAGGCACATTACTTAACTCGTTAATCTGAAGGAGAGAGAAGAGCGGTAGAGGTCAGAAAATGTGCAGAAGTACAGCTGATCTTCACGCTAATACAGCTCACAATATTTACAAATAAAATGAGGATTAATCTGTTAATGGAGAGGATTTACAGGCAAACAAATGTGTAATTTCAACTTTAGGAAAGGATTTTATTACAGCAAATAATAAAACAGCAACCAAATGACAATTTAGTTCGAAGACGCCGATCATTTCTGCGCAAACTTCCGAGAAACACTACAGACAACGGAAATCGCTAAAAACAAACGCTGACGCGACGGTTTGCAAAACAGGGACTCGAAGTGGTGCTTGTTACTCTTGTTCATTTTCAACTAAATGATAAACACAGCTAGTGGTGTTGCACGTAAAATGACCGCATTAAAAATGCGTCGTTTCAGAAATTCTCCAGCATCTCTGCCGGCCTGGCGGACATTAAACGTGCTTCCAAGTTGTGACTGGAAGAGGAGGACTTTGATGTGAAGTCTGTTTGATGTTTTCAATCGGCTTCACACCCACACCTCCAATCAACCGCCCCATTTGCAGCACCCACACACACACACACACACACACACAGAGTTCAGCCACTGAATACCAAAGATGCTGCAGTGATAAACACAACATTAGCTGAAGCCTTAATCCCTCGGCAGCAGCAAGCATTTGTAGCGTCACTTTGTTTACAGGGCTGCAGCTATTTATGGTTCTCACAGCCAGAGTTTATGTGATTGATTCTGGTTGATTAGTTTATTTCTATTAAGGTTCCAGGAAAGATTCCTTCTGATTTTACATTTTCACACAAAAGCCACAAAACTGATCACGCAGCTGACAAAGTCAAAAGAAAACATCTGGATAGAAGCATGTCACACATCTTGATGTCCAACTCCGTATAAACCACATATACTGCAGCTGCATTTGACTGTTTAAGACTTTATTAAATTTGAAAGCAGAAACAATTAAATAAATATTCCAGAAAAGAAGCTTCTAAGATCACTAAAATGCAAGAAACACATTTTTTAAAAAGCAACTAAAAAGATGGTGACAGATACGGATACTGATTTCAGATTCTCGAGCAGCCCTTACCTGCTGATTCCAATTTGTCTCAGAATTATTTATAACTGAAGACATTTTTTTTATTTTGAACTAACACGAAAACTACAATTCTGGAGTAAAACGTTGCACAAAATCTGCTCTGTTGAATAAAAACTTTGCAACAGTGACTTCAAAAATGGCGGCAAAAAGGCGTTTTTGCTGCTTGGTAATTTAAAGAGAAAATTTAAACTAATTTTAAAACATTTTTGGTCTTCATGTTAGTTTGTCACGCTCAAGAGGATTTTTGGTGCATCGTAATTTGCATAGAAATTTTTAATTACACTTAATCAAATTTGTTTTGTTCAATTTCAGACATTTTTGCTGAAAGCTGTTGTAGCGGATCTACAGAACAAGCTAGGTTTTGAACGCAAACGCTGCCACGGAATATTCACCCTTCTCCTCGGGTATCTTCCCGGAGACACTTCTGCCGGAACTAAAAACCCACAATGCCGAAAAAAAAAATCGAGATAGCGCTAAACACCAGCCATCACTTTCTAGGTTCAAACGTCTTTTGTTGTCCATAGGGCCGGGCAACATGGACAAAAACTTATATCTCAATATATTTCATCTGAATTCTGCTTTAGGGCGACTACCTCTTGAAGCTCATTGAGAGAATGACAAGAGTGCGCAAAGCAGTAATCAGAGCAAAGGGTGGCTATTTTGAAGAAAATAGAATATAAAACATTTTTTCAGTTATTTCATCTCTTTTGGTTAAGCACATGACTCCATGTGTTCACTCATTGTTTTGATGCCTTCAGTGAGAATCTACCAATGTGAATGGTCATGAAAATAAAGACAACACATTGAATGAGGTGTGTCCAAACTTTTGGCCTGTACTGTACATCTCAATATTTTCCTCCTGTAGTGCCTTTTTCTATCAGTCTGAGCGTTAGAAACACTGATAAGTTGCTGTTAACACACAGGTAGGTTTATATCTTTATTGGTTTTACAAGGTTCATATTTATACTGGATTTCCATCCATCCATCAGTTAGGAACTAGAGGTGTCTCAAATGTGCCACAGGCACTTTAATCCATTATATTTATATAATTAACATCTAACTAAAATTCCATCTAGAGGTGGCTCATATCCTCTCATTCTCAATATTACCAGTAATTATTTCTTGTCCAGAGAAAAAAGTGTATCGGGTTAAGTTCATTTCATGATTTATTTGCATCCAATACTAGAGGATTACACTCCAGATATGTCGATATACTGCCCAGTCCTAGTTGACTTCAAATGGGGTTTTTCTTTTTGGGACTCTAGTAGTTTGTCCTATAGTTGAAGTGGTAGCAGCCGGCTGTTTCTCCTTCTCTGATATTGAGCAGAGAACCTCTAGGCTAGAACATTGTCAAGAGGCACTAAAAAATCTTTTAAGCTCATGTGTTTTCCAAATTTGGCTTTGCAGCATTAATACTTGTGTATTTTTATATATTTTTACTAATTGAGTTTTTCCTCCACAAATTTTTCTTTAAGCACGCTGAACCACTTCAGAAGGTTTAATTGTCCTACTAGTAAAGCAACTGTGAAATAAAGTTGCATGTATTTGGACATCTTTGTGGTTTTATTTGATTCTAATTTATTTATTTTATCAAGAGCATTTTACAACAATAGAGATAAAAGACACCAAGAACAACATGAACAAATTCCAGATTAGTTTTGCACTTTTCATTTATTCAGATTATCATCTCACCGCATATATTGTGAATTTTCAACTGACTTTTATTATTTCATTTGGTCCCATTTCGTCTTTGGACATCGGATAGGTCATTTTACATACATATTTTCATTGTTTTTCTATCAAAGTGACATTCCTTTTGAGGTCTTTTTCTGCCATACTGTTAAAATTTTTCCTCTCATCCATTTTCAAAGCTTTCTTGAGATCATGTGTTGTCTTCTGCATTTATTTTGTGTCCCAGTTTGGCTGTTTAAACACTTTTCTAACAATTTATTTCACCTCTGGAATAAATCCAGGGTTTTCCCTTAAAACGCCCCCCTTCCTTTTCTCTTCCCTCCTCGCACTTGCCAAGTAGGTCTGCTCAGTAATCTGCTCATGCCTGAGAGGCCGTTTTTCACGCATGAGACAAACTCACTAAGAGTAAAAGTTACTGCACATTAGGCAGATCCAAACTGCTTGTGCAACCCAATCCATCCATTACTGGACGTCCAACCTGCCTTTCACAGAGCTTTTCATAGCCACAAGCAACCTCAGCCAAAAGTGAATGTGATAGATTTTTTTCTGCTCTATTTATAGTAAAATGATGTAATGGATGAACTGCAGCAAAAGGATGGAGGCGCTAACCACAGCCACTGTGAATACAGGTTAGAGCAGGTATTTTATTTTAAACAATGAAAATCGGTGCAACCTGCTGCTCTAGCTGCCCGTCACACCCCTCCCGCATCATGCCTGCACAACAGCTGCAGCTCACGAATCAGCCGCACAAACCTTCACAATCCATAATCTATGATGGCAGATTATCCCCATGACCTGGTCACAGATGACTGATAATCCACCACTCGTGGATGTGCAGATTTGCTGAGGATCAGGCAGATGTAATTATGAAGTTCGCTTCCCATTCACATAACCTACCAGGTAGCTGGCTAAAGGGACAATACATCGTTTTCCGAATGATAAACACCTCAGAATACAGTATAAATAAGATTAATGACTAATAATAAATGTAAAAAATAAAACACATAATGCTAAAATTTGGATTATGTTGTTCCATTAACATTTAATTCGTCTACTTTTGATTCTATAAATACTGCATAAATTGTATTTTAGTGGAATATTACAAAGTCAGATTATAATCCTGATTATCTCATTTTAAATTGTTTATTTGTAACTTAGAACTGTCCTTAATTGCATTTAACGATAGTAAAAATTGTGAAATCAAAAATTTCCTGAAAGAATCTTAAACCAACTTCACCACCTTTCCGCAAATACAATCCGAATCGCTGCAAAAATGCAGAACAGGAAGGAAAAAACACCACAGTTCATAAATGAAAGTGGAAACAGGCATTCCACCACTCAGAAAACCATCAGATTACAAGCCAACCGTGCGTTAACATCCGTGAAACGTAGAGTATAAACGAGCGTCTGGGAGCATCAAAGCTGGTTTGACAGATGAGGGCAGCTGGCTAACGAGGCGGCTAAAAATCAAAACACAAGCTAGCAGGAGGAGAGGATGAAGATGTGTTTACCGTATGGTTGACACCCCACATTAATACGCTGAGAATGGGCTCGCTTGCACGGAATAACTTGACTTTCTGTCCTATAAAATGCTTCTTTTTCGTCTTGGTTTTGCTGGCGCTGACGGCCGCTGCGCTGGTGCAGTTGGATGACATGTTGGCTCACGCGACTAAACGAAAACCGCAAACTTAAAAACGACGTGTAAACAGAATCTACGGACGCGTCGTGGCCGCCGTCCAGCCCACGGTGAGTCGGTGTGTTGCTGTTGGGAGTCAGCGGCGGAGCATTCTGCGCCGACACCACCCTTCCTCCTCCCGAGCAGCTAGCCAGCCATCGGGCCACAGCGGAGCCGCCTTCGTTTCAAGAAAGAAAAACAGCCCACGGCGGTGGAGCAGCTCCTCTACGCCCTCCCTGGAAACCTGCGACCTGAAACCGACGCGGAGGCGTTTTATATGGAGGCGAATTATCCCCTCATGATGAGCCGGAGACAATCAGCCCGCCCGCCAGACGAGCAATGCGTTTATCGGGTCTCCTCAAGATGGCGTCTGTGCTGCGCCCCCTGGCAGGCCGTGAGTGGGACTGCAGGGGTTCCCATTTGTAATCTGAATGAGCAGCAGACTACATGTAATCTGGATTAGGTAATAAAATGACAATTTAAAAAAATAATAAAAAGACTGGATATTACATAATTATATGATGCTTAAATTGTAAAATACTTTCACGTTAGACATTTTAATTTGACAGTTTTATTGGTCAAGAAATGTTGATTTTTGTTTGAATGACTTTTCAGTCATTTAATTTTTTTTTATTTTCATGCCCTGTCAGCAGTCAACTAAACCCCGTGAGTTTTTATGTTTCTTTTTTTATTCTCCAATTTGACATTTCCCTGTATGCACTGGACATTAAAATTAACATTCCATGCTATTTTCTTTTCTTTTCTTTCTTTGCAAAAATTGGGAATTACATTGACAAAGCTGAGCTCTGTTCCCTCTTTCCAATTCAGAAAGGGCAATTCCAATTAACTTTTCACCCTCTAAGCATCTTTAATCTGCTCTAATCATAAAATAGTTAAACTCTTTAAATCTGGACTAGATTATAATAGAATCCTTAAAACAGAGTTGTTGATTTTCAAAGAGCATTTTTCGCACATATAGAAACTGGTCCAGCCCAAAAACTAAAGTAAGGCTCAAACCTGGATTATTCTACGTTAATAGCAGAGTCCTTGTTGCAGTTTTTAACTGGACCAGTTGTAATGTGGTCCATATACTGACAAACTGCTGAAATCTGCCTTGTTTTAACTTTTGCGAAACAAATTACGGTTTAGGAACTCTGTAATTATTGTAAAATAATTAGTTCAGGTTTGACGAGTCTATTAGTTTATTGAACATAGGTGTGTGTGTGTGTGCGTGCGTGCGTGCGCGCGTGTGTGTGTGTGTGTGTGTGGGGGGTCCTTGTGGAGTCTCTTATCTACTTCATTACTATTAATATGAAACACAAGGAACAGTGTTATTTACATCCACGAGGGATCCCTACAGGGCAGTTGAGGGAAAGCACACTTGGTGAACGTTTATTGTAAAAAAAAAAAAAAAAAAAAAACTGGAAAAAAATATCAGTTTGGATTATTTGAAAGAATGGAGACCATAAAATCCAAATTGCACGGGATTTAACAAGAGTTCATAAGAGCCACAGCTTTGCAGAGGAAAACTTTTAAACAGAAGAATAAATAGCCTACAATAAAAAAAAATCAAAATAGTTCCTGCTGCAATTTAAAGTGAATTGTAATTGGCAATTGTGGAAAAAATTGTATTTAGTTATTTAGATGGATCTCCGTTAAAAAAATTAAATAAAGTTTTTTATGATAATATTAATAAAAAGCGAATGTTTGAGACGTGTTGTGGGTCTGGGGCCCTGGACTCCTGAGGCCTGCAGGCCCTCCGGAGCTGACTGGAGTCTCTCCTCCGGGTTTTGGGACAATCTGAGGGCGTATCGGAGCGGATCCGTCCTCATCCTGCTGCCTGATGCCAGCTGCAGCGATGACAGAATAAAAGGAGCCGTGCGCGGCCTGTAGCTCAGGGGAAACACCGAGCTGGGAGCGAATCCGGGCCTGCGTAGAATCCAGACTCCCAGGCCCGATCAGCCAGGCTACAAAATAAAGTCACGTGATCCAAAATGGGCAGTCCTCCGACGGGGCAGAAAAAAAGCCATTTTCTGGCGCCGCTGCATAATTCTGTCCAAGTGCAAATAAGTGATCTGGGTCCGGGAGCAGCGGAGGGAACTTTTGTGTCCAACCAGGTAGGACCGAAGCGCCGCCGAGAGCTCCGTAAAGCCGCTCTTTTGTCGCGCCGATGTTTGCGGAGACGCACACGAAGTGCACGGTGTAACGTTCGAGTCTCTTGTTCGCTCTCCTGATGCGGAGGCTGTCAGTGAATTTAAGATGGCTGCTTTGTGTACCAGTGTGATTCTGCAGCCTCTCGGTCGGTGTCGGGCCGGAACGGTGCGCTCGGACGGCGGGTCTCCGGGAGGAAACGGAGCCGCTCTTTGTTGCTCGAGGAGCGGAGCTGGTGCACGATCCGGAGGCCGGGCGGCAGGAGCGATCCCGAATCTCCGCTGCTTTCGGTCTGGTTACGAACAACCACCCCCCCTCTAAAAAAAATCAGCGTGCCGTTCGGTTTGTTTTGCATCGGTTTGTTGTGCTTTCATAGGCTGCTGTCCCAAGGACGATAACGGGATCGCCAGCAGCAACCTGGCGGCAGACACATTTAACGTTCAGGCTGCATGTGTTTCCTCTCCAGGTCCCGTCCAGATGGAGAAAATGCAGCCGAACCGGGTCAAGATCACGGATCTGAACCCGCTTCTCACATGTCCGCTGTGCGCAGGATACCTGATCGATGCCACGACCATCGTGGAGTGTCTGCACTCCTGTGAGTTCCTCACAAAACCTGCTAGCAGCAGGCCTGCAGAGGTCCACTACAGGGACCACACACACACACACACACACACACACACACACACACACACACACACACACACACACACACACACTGGTGAAGAACTGACCTCAACCAGGAGGTCCTGGAGCCAGACTAAACCCAAAAGTTGTTACCCTGATCTCTCAGTAGTCATCACAGATGGTTTTAATGTTATGGCTGATTGGTAGAAACATTTATTACACATAAACCAGCTGAAGTGAGTCAGTCAGGACCCAATCCTGGTCCTGGAGGGACCGTATCCAGCATCTTTTAGTTGTTTCTCTGCTCATTCACACCTGATTTTAGTTAGAAGGTGATTAACCGGCTTCTGCAGAGCTCGATGAGCTACAAAACAAGTGATTCAACCATTGAAACAATTTAATTCAACCTCTTGGACCAGCTGAGGTGGTTCTGGTTCTTCTATCCAGGACATCCTGGAAAGGTTATATCCCTACACCAGAGAGGCTTCATCTTCTGGATTATGTCTGATTTTTACCAGTTTGTCACAATTTGTTTAGTTTAATGTATTAAAAAATACCAACAACAGAGTTTCCGGTAGAAAGAAGTTTTAGCTTCAACATGGAGATTCCTAAAGAGCAGAAGGGTGACTCGTCGTCTTCCAGGAACTCATCGTTACTCAGACTGTTAATTTCATGTGTTTTTGTTTTTTGTTATTCTTATGAAAACCGTTTAAAAAGCAGCCAGAAACCTTTTCCCGAGTAACCGGAATCTCACTTCTGTCTAGTTTGTAAAACCTGCATCGTTGCCTTCCTCGAGACGAATAAGTTCTGTCCTCGATGTGACGTCCAAGTCCACAAGACGTGTCCACAGCTCAGCATCAGGTAACCAGAACCTGTCTTCGTGGATTTAAACACATCTGACCGCAGCGTTTAATTCTGCATTCCTTTTTCCTTTCTTCAAGATCGGATAAAACTCTCCAAGATATAGTTTATAAGTTGGTTCCGGGGCTTTTCAAAGGTAAACACCTTAACCCTGAAGCCTGGTTCTGCTACGTGGTTCTGTCTTACCGGCTCGTTTCTTCTCCAATCCCAGACGAGATGAAGCGGAGGCGAGATTTTTATGCAGAGAACCGAGTTCTGGAACCGGGCGAAGTGGTGGAGACGTTCAACATAGCGGAGGATGAAATCATCAGTCTGTCCATACAGTTCTACGAGAGGAACAAGTGAGTCCGACGTTTCGGGCAATTCCACCACGCGTCGCTGATTTGCTACCCTATTAAAGGGTTTCTTTTCTGTTTTGATGGTTTCCAGCAAAAACAGCGAGAGGCAGCGATCAGAGCTGGAAGGAGAAAAGGTAACGAGGAATAAACGGGTCAGACTGGGTCGGTTTGACGGTTGTCCGTTGATTTTATGTCCTATTTCTGTTTTTAGTCCAATGGGAAACGCTTCCTGCAGTGCCCGGCAGCCATGTCTGTTATGCACTTAGCAAAGTTCCTCAGGAGCAAAATGGATATACCCAACAACTACCGGGTAAACACACACACACACACACACACACACACACACACACACACACACACACACACACACACACACACACTAGTGGACGGGTGCTGTTTTGGGGTCTACCTGATATAATGGTGTGTGCCATTGTTTTGTGACACAGAGAGTCAGGATGGGTGGCCTCCTGTCACAACCTCTGACCCTCAGCATGGGCGCACCTCAGGGCTGTGTTCTCTCCCTTTGGCTTTTCTCCGTCTACACAGATGCACTCACATCTACTCATAACCCAGTCTCCATTCTCAAATATGCAGATGACACCACCATAACTGGACTCCTCTCTAACAATAACGAAAACCAATACCGCGAACGGTTCGCCCAAGCAGTCACATGGCGCCAAAACAATAATAACCTCCAACCTAACATATCAAAAACCGAGGAACTTAGATTTCTCACACTCTCCTACTCTCCTCCCTCATTTCCGCACAACCTGTCACTATTACAGAGTCCTTTAGTAACTCCCCCAAATGGAAACGGCTCAGAACAGACTTTCAAAAAAGCCAATAAAAGATTATTTTTTTCTCAAGACAACTAAAGCCATTTAAAGAGCAAGTCAACTCCTACCAGAGTCTAACTCCACTCCCACTTCATGTTTGAAAAACGCAACAAATGCTGTTGCCTGGCAGACCGAGAGGGCGGAGCTGCTAACAAATACACACACACACAGGCTCACAACAGCATTGTGACATCATAATGTACCAGTTTACATCATAGCATACCTCTTAGCCAATAGTGGTGGCAGATTTAAATTAAAATACAGTGCAGAGTTTTTACCTGACAACGGCACAACACTGCCAGTTTTAGGCAGAGTATTTAAATTTTAACTAAGATGCACTGAAGTGCCAAATTATTGACTACACGTGTCTGCAGCATGATTAGACATTCGTTTATTTAGTTTATCAGCAAAAAAAGTTTATTTCGGGGTGACTTGCTCTTTAAAGTATGGCACAGCATCCTATACCGCTATCATTCAAAGTATACGCGCCTCATCCATAATAGTCTGGTATGGTAATTTGGACTCCAACTCACATAAAAAACAATAACAGACAAGTGGTCTCAAATTATAGGCCATGCCCTACCTTCCATTGACACACTGTACCATAGACGAACAGGAAAAATCACCTCGGACCCCTCTCACCTACACATCCTCTGTTCACACTATTGCCTTCTGGAAGATGCTACAGGCCTTTACAAAGTCAACTAGATTAACAAACAGTTTTTCCTAACAGCTATACGGTCACTAAATCAATGAACTGCCTAATGTTTTTGTATGTCCCTGTCTGTTTATTTTTAGTTGCATCATGTGTAGACAGAGTTGTGAGCGTGTCATGCTTCACCGGAAACAAATTCCACCAACTTGTGTGGTCATTAATAAATGAATCTTATACTTTTCAGTGCCTTCATGGGGATGCACAAGAGGAAACTGTTGTTTTTAAAGTGATCAGTCAGTCTCTTCCCTGCAGCAGTCAGACTGATCTTTAGAGAATCTGGAAGATACCAGGAAACATTTGTGATCCACGTTAAAACCGTCTGAAAACGCCCGCTTGGGTGAATACGGGTGAAACTGGAGAAATGAGAATCTGGTGCAAAAGTCCATTAATGTCAGGAAACCAGCTCAGACTGAGACACTATCTAAAGGCTCAGGAACCCTTTGCATGTGTTCTGGATTCATTAGCTGATTAGAGTGTGACACTTTGAGTCTAGAATATTGAACATTTTCACAATAATCTTGAGATTTTGAACATGGGGTTTTTCATAAGCTGTAATCCATAATCATCACAATTACAACAAATAAAGGCGGACATATCTGGCTTTGCATGGAAGGATCAGTTTCACCCTTTAAGTTGAATTACTCAAATAATTGAACTTTTGCACCATATTCTAATTTTGCCAGTTTCACCTGCATATGTTTTCCATGTTTCATGTTCCCACTGCAGGTCTTCAGTTTTTCTGTCTCATTCTCACGTGTAGCTATGATTTGTGAATCCTGTCAAATCAAAGTTATGAAAGTCTGATAAATTTCAACATGATCGTTCAGAACAAGGATCCCTTTGAGAAACCTCTGGCTGGGTCAAATATGTCATTTCCTGTGATTGTAGCTGAAGATCTAGAGAAATTAGGATAACTGTCTCAGTCAAATCTAGAAAATAGGACTACAATAACAATGCAGGTGCACCCCGAGCACAAAAACGATCAACAATATGAGTTTCTACTCATAAACCAATCACACGTTTTTCAACAACTTCAGAATTGCTACACGCAGACATCCATCCATCCATCATCCATCCATCCATCCATCCATCCATACTTGCTTGTGAAAGCACAGCGTGCTGCAAATAACCTCATCGTTGTGCACTTTAGGGTCGTGAGGGCCACTCACACTAATAATAATAATGCTTTGAACGTATATAGCGCTTTTCTAGACACCCAAAGACGCTTTCACACACTCTCACATTCACACACTGCTAGTGATGGTAAGCTACTTGTAGCCACAGCCGCCTTGGGGAGGTCTGACAGAGGCGAGGCTGCCATTTGGCGCCGTCTGCCCCTCTGACCACCACTAACACAGGCAAGTTGGGTGAAGTGTCTTGCCCAAGGACACATCAGCAGGATACCCCTGGCGGGAGCTGGAATTGAACCCATGACCCTCCGATCATGAGGCAACCCGCTCTACCACCTGAGCTACTGCGGCCCCACTAGACTGATGCAAGTCGTGTTTAAATTAAAACAGGAACAACCTAACACAGACAGTATGAATTATCAGGTTTTGAACAATAATCAGAGTCTGACAGTTTGGTTTTTAAAAAGCTGATAAATCCACATCACAGGATCAATATTTCTACAGCAGGAGGGAGTATCCTGATTACATTATGTTGCGTTATTGACTCAGAGCACTTCCCACATCAGCTGATGTTTATACTCATCACCAGGAGGCTCTCGGCTAAAGATCAGGCTGAGATGTTTGTTGGTCGCTTCTATTAAATCCGCTCCTGTTCTTCAAGCCGTTATGCATCGATTATTTGACAAATAATAAACAAAGCATCTAAAAACCAGGAGGTTCTGTTGGTCGAAACGTGTGGTTGATGACGGGATTAAATGGGTTTTGTGTTTCAGGTGGAGGTTTTGTACGGCGACGAACCCTTAAAGGACTATTACACACTAATGGACATCGCCTACTTCTACGAGTGGAGACGAGTGAGTCAGAATCGTATTATTTATTATTTACAGGACTGGGAGGTTTCATTAATCTGAAGCAGCTAGAATTTCTTCTTGACAAAGAAAGCAAATGAAAACCACTGTCCTCCAAAAAAAACATTTGGATGTTTGTAAATGTTCATTTAGATGGCACCTTCTAGGGTTCTACAACCCCCCCCCCCCCAAGACCCTTTACAAAACAACCAATCATTCCCCCTTGCTTGCACACATTCACAAGCTGGTGATGATTAGCTACATTGTAGCCACAGCTGCCCTGGGGCACACTGACAGAAGTGAGGCTGTAGAGCACAGGCGCCTCCGGTCCCACTGACAAAGTGTCTTGCCCAAGGACACAACTGCGACAGACAGGGTTTGAACCTGCAACTCTGTGGTTATGCACCCCTGATTGAATATTTCTCATCATAATTATTACAAAAAATAATCATACATTAAGTTGAAGCTTTTATTATTTCAAATAATAAAAAATGCATTTAGTTATGGACATTACAAAAGCCCATTTCCCATGTAATCTATTGTGTATTCTGATTTAGTTTCATTTGAACACAGAAACTTTAAAACGTAGTTTTCAGAGTCTAAAGCAGGAGCTGGAATCAAGCCCACAATCCTCCGATCATAAGGCAACCTGAACGCATTCTACGTCCTGAGAAACTGCTGCACCACTAAAGCAGTGGTGTCCTCTAACCCCGGCTTTCCACGGGAGCCGTCAGCAGCACGTTACTGCAGCAGCACGTCATAGCTGCTGATAGGAACGGCTGTGGTCAACAGAACCTTTTCCACTGGAGCCGTCAGCAGCGCGAGTCGGCCGCGTCTCAGGAGCAGCATGTCGCGGCCTTTACGCGCCGGTTCTATTTCCTACGCGCGACGCCTCTGAAACGGGTCAAGTTCGACATTTTTGGGGAAGGAAAGACAGGAAATCGGACGCGGAAATGGAGAGAAGCTCCCGAGATTTTCAGAATAAAGAACGTACTGCCTTCCGGTCGCTTTACTTTAAAAAAGGTTACTAACTGTGCGGCCCCGTGAGAAGTTATCACCTAGCTAGCGGTCTCCTTTGTTTTTCAGGTCCGTATTGGCGATTATAAAACGGACAGAATATAAAAACACAAACATTTTGGAGCCATGTTGTAGTTTTCTCCTGCTTGTTGTTGTGTTTACTGACGAAGTCACTCGTGTGACTTCGTGCCCTGTCGGTGACAGCTGCTCCTCTGCTGCGTCGCGTCTCGTGGGAAGGGCCGAGCAGCAGCTAGACGTGCTGCTGCAGTAACGTGCTGCTGACGGCTCCCGTGGAAACCCGGGGTAAGGCCACCATCCAACATGGCTTAGCTCCAACATACCTGATTCAGTGGTTAAATCACCTGTTCGGCAGCTCAAGCTCTGCTGATTAAAGCCAGGTGTACTGGAGCAGAGAAGGCTCTGAAACAGGGTGAACAGTGGTCCTGGAGGACCAGAACTGGACGCCAGTGTTCTAAATGGATGTGAATTCTTGCTGTCAGAGTACATTATGGACTGCAGTGCCATCTAGTGACAAACAATCCTCTTTTTTTTTCCAGGTTTAGTTCTCTTAAAACTGAAGAAAACACACATTTCTTCACAAAGAAATGATCAAAATACTGGATGGTGCAAAAGTTTTAGACCAATAGTTTAGCTTTGGCTGCCATTTAAAATATTTTGGCCATTTTGAAGTGTTTCTGTGTAAAACGTTATACTAATTATACCCATTCTGAATAGCCTCAGCCTGGAGAAGTAGTTGCGTTTGATTAGGCTGATAAGCTAACGGCTAGTTTTGAGCACTCCAAAGTGGGTTGATGTTCTAAAAACATCTCCAGTCACCTAAACTTAAGTGGTTTGTACGCCAGCATTTCACTTTTACAGGACTAAATACCAGCAGCATCGGCTAAATGTAGCTCTCCAGGAGTTCCTTGATGTTTCTTCAGATTTAAATGAGATGTGAAGGTTTATAGAACGTTTGGATGAATGGCTGAGAGTTTGGAGCTGGGTTGGTGTGCCAGAAAGGCAATTTGACCAACTTCTCGATGCATTCTGGGAATATTTCCCTAAATTTAGAATAGAATTAATTAGTTTTAATAGAAGTATTTGCTGCAGCAGTGTCCTGCTCCAGTTTTTAAATAAATCAAGAATCAGGTTCTGCCTCCATTAAGTTTGTGTCTGAACGTATGACTGAAGGGTATCTCTGCGCAGACTGGACCCATCCCGCTCCAGTATCTGGTCAAACCCACCCGGAAACGCAGGAGGCTGTCCCAGTCCGCCGCCACCCAGGGCCACTCCGACGGCGTCAACACGAGCCCCACGTCGGAGAGCGACTCTCAGAGCGAGAAACTTCAGAGTCCTGCCGCAGCCCCGCCTCCCCGAGCCTCGTCGCAGTCCAGCCCCGCGTCCCACAATGCCACGCCTTCCACCCAAAGCTCTAATGGTGCTGCCGTTCCCAACAACACTCAGCGACCCACGCCCACTTCCAAGCAGGCCGCCAGCACTCGTAAGGTGACTGTCAACGGCACGAGCTCTGGGGCGGGCAAGGAGGAGGCGAGGGGGGGAGAGAAAAGCAGCCTGCCTCCGCCGACCTAACACTTTGAGCAAGGCTGCAGGAAGGACAGTGGTTTGATTCCCATGGAGCAAGAAGAGGCTCGAGCTTTCATCATTCTGGACACAAACAGGAGGCCGATTTTGAGCTGGAAGGACCGAGGAGCCAAATGGACGCTCTGTGTGTGTGTGTGTGTGTGTGTGTGTTAGACTAGAGCCGTGCACACATCCATACTGTACAGTATCTATCAGACGTCAGCATGTGTGCATACATATGTATAAACCTATCTTTTATACAAGATAATGTAATCATTTTGTATTGTATATGCAGTGGGTCCGTTTCATTTCCACAGACATCCCTTTGGCTTCCATACAGCCGGCGGCGAGGTGGTCCACACGCCAACGTCGCCGTGTGGGCTGGATGTGAAGGAAAGGAAAAAAAAAAACAATTCTTGCCTTTCAAAGAGTCGTGTTTGTAAGTGTCCAGAGTGAGCAGCAGCTCATCAGGTAACGTGTACATTATGAAAACCGTTGATGCACTTTGTTAACGTCCCGTCACACAAACCAACGAGTATTTTCTAGCAGCTGAAGCGTTTCTATTAACAAGTGGAAGCACTACGAGGAGTCTGACCTGAAAAAAAGAAAGGGATTTGGATATTTTGCCATGTATGTTGCTCCATAGAATTCAACATTCCCTTTGTTGCTTTTCAGACATTTTTTTAATCAGCCATATGTGCATGTTTTAGGTCAATAAAATGTTTACTTACTAGGTTTTTCTGACCTGAGCGTCTGGTTTATGGTTCAATAAATAATCTTCTTAAAAAGGACTATATGTTCTGAAGTGTGTTAAAGGTGTGTGAACATTATTATCACGGCTGTTGGAGCCGACTCTTCAGGAACAACCTTAGTTTGGAGAAAAACAAATCAGTTACATCTCTGTCTTATGTCACAACTCTCCTGGAATAACAAATGCAATTCATAACTGTTAAAAACTTACTGGTGAAGGTTCTCAGTCGTCCAAATCACGATAATCCAAAGGGTTCAAATGAAGGACTGAATGAAGGTGGACTTCTCCGGTTTGTTACATACATTTCGCTTCTCGTCCAAGGGGCTTTATCAATTCTGCCTGGAATATGGGAGAAGCTTAGTGGTGTCGTTCATGCAGGGAGGATCGTCCAGGCCTTTACATAGGGGAAAATAAAACTACTCAGGTGCAGGGCGGGGGTATTCATGCGTACTTTCAGCTCCGAATCAGAAGGGTTTGTCTGAGAATCACAACATTAGGAAAATGCTGCGGGACTTGGTGCAAGAAAAAATAAATGATAAGCAAAATTAGAATTAAGAAATAAACAATGAAATGATAATATAGGGAATTGATAATTAGAGAAGCAGCTACTTTATACAAGCCAGTGTAAGCGCTGGTCAGAGCGGATCAGTTCATGTGCAAACACAACACCAGCTAGTTAAGAAACAACCAACAGCTACAACCTATGAGCTTGACTCTCCCACATGCTGGTCAGAATTGACAAAGCTGCTCGGATGAGAAGGGAAACATCTTCAAGACACTTTGCGACTGGCTCATTCATATCCCTTCCAGAACCACTACAAAGAGCCATCTAAAACCGGTGCAAAACCTTTTAAACTCACTTCATGAAATGTGAACAATTCCTGACTGAATGAATGAATGTTTCTGTTTATTTGGCAGACGCTTTTAACCAAAGCGACATACAATTTTTAACTTGTAGGGCATGTTGTGATCTGTAGGGGAAACCGGAGTCCCCGGAGGAAACCCACGCATGCATGGGGGGAACACGCAACTCCACGCAGAAAGGCCACAGCCGAGTTTTGAACCTGCAACCTTCTTGCTGTGAGGCAACAGTGCTAACCACTGCGCCACCATGCAGCCCAAAGCAGTTTACACTACAGTGTATCATTCATCCATTCACACACTGGTGGTGATGAGCTACATTGTGACAGAGGCGACCGCCACCAGCAGGCAAGGTGGGTTAAGTGTTTTGCCCAAGGACACAATGGCAGAAATCTGTCTGGAGCTAGGATCTAACCCGCAACTTTCCGATTACTGGACATCCTGCTCTACCTCTTGAGCTACTGCTGCCCTAAATAACCTGCAAAGATTAATCTGTGCATCCTCTGACCTGGAAAATCCTTCTTTCTAGAACAGAAATCCAAACTTTATAGGATCCATTAATTAAATATTAATATTGAGACTTCGTGCTCTACATTTTATTTCTACTCTGTACGGAAGAGGATTAGAGCCACTGACAAGAAAGAAAAGAAAGAGAATTCTGACTTTTTTCTCAGAATTCTGGGAAAAAAGTCTGAATTCTCTTTTTTTTTCTTTTCAGAGGCTCTAATCCTCTTCTGTACCTCTGACTTCACAGAGGGCACTGACCTTTTACAATTTTTCTTTTCGTGAGGAAAATTTAACATCCAACTCTCCTGAACTTCTTCACATTATCTATCCATCCATCCATCCATCCATCCATCTATCTATAGTAAAGAGTTACAGCTACATGTCACAAAAGTCACACAGGAACTTTTAATGATAATTAATGTAAATGTTTTAAATTCCATCTAGGGGAGGCCAATATGTCATTCATAATATTACCAGTTATTTCCTGCCAAGAAAAAAAATGATCATGTTAAGCTAACTTCATTGATGTAGTTGCACCCACTAAGAGGATCATGTTCATGTGGGCCATTAGCATGAAGTTATTGAATTTATCAAAGCAAACATGGCTGGAATCAGCTTTACCTGTAATGTTTCTCCAAGTGTGTGTGCTGCTGTAATGAGTGGATGTCCACACTGTGGGACTAATAAAATTTACTCTATTCTATCATATCAGCCAGTAGGAAAAAAGAAAACATTTGAGGAATTTTGGCCTTTCCAGGCATCCGTACAAATGACCTAACCTAACCACGTAACAAATTGCCTCAGTGGCAGAAACAGAGGCCATTGGGCTAATTCTTTTCAAAATGTGGAACAACAAATAAGGACATGACTCGTTTCTGTCTACATGTGGTTTTGCTTCAGAAAACCACGAATATTAAATTCAAAGGGCGTTTCATATTACACTGGTTTCTTTATTTCATGATTTAAATTCCATTAATGCCAGTCAGAATAAATTCAACCAAACTCAATATCCCTGGATTTTCTTTAGCGTGACGTTTGGACTTTAACGAACCAGAGTAATCCATTTTTTAAAGACTTGATCAAAACCCAGCTGTAGCTTCAAATCATGATACATTCACTGTCCATTAGATGTGGGAAATAAAAGCTTTACTTTCCTATTAGTTTAATATTCTTATCCAAAAACTCTACAATTCCCAGATGAAAAACAACATTTTGAGCCTTTAATAGACTACAAATTTGTACAAGAATAATGGTTAAAAAAATGTATTAAATTGTAAAACAGACTTTATACAAAGCATTATGTAACACTGAAAAATAACAACAGATAGTTTTATTGAAGCCGATTTTCACCCTAAAACATTTAACATGAATGAATGATTAAATGATGCAGTTATTCATTCATGTTTAAACAGGCCCTTCACTGACTTCACTACATCCCTGTAGATGACCTTCAGGTGCGAGCCATCGCAGTATGGTTGGTTCTTGGTTTGCTTGCAGGCGCAGAGCAGGACTGCTTTGTCTTTGTCGGGGGTGAAACGGACAGGTTTGATGCCCGGGGCTTTGGACGCATGAGCCCCATCACAGAAAGGCTGTTGTAGAAGGATAAAAATATGAGAAAAACTTTAAACAACATTCTTTAGAGAATCACAGAGACAACAAACTCAAAATCTAAAATGTAATTTTTAAAATAAAGATTTTTGAGGGCCTTTAATTCAAATGGACTTTAGGTTTTCTCATGTTTCACTCAAGAATGAGATGCCACAATGAGGTAGGTAATTTTAACAGAAACATGGATTATAACAGCATGTCTAACTTCTGCAGTCAGTAAAATTTTATTGAATGCGCTGATCAAAAAGTAAGCAGCAAAAAAAGGAACACATTTCTACAGAAATGTAGAAATCTATTACAGTTTAAATGCAATTTCATTTCAAGTTGACGCCAAACAGATGTGCCTGTGTTTAAAGGTGCAATGTGTAAGAATAAAGTAAGATTTCTATAGTGAAATATTCCCAAAACAGTGTCTCAGCCATGTAGGAAGGAAGGTTATACTGAAATATATTTCATTCTCAGAGAGGTTGTCAGTTTTTCTCCTTTCAAAATAAAGGTAGGAGGGACACAACTACTGTTACCATCTATGAGTGTGAGGTTGCTGTGTCTCCTGCAAGCCAACGCCGCAACGCCAGCATTTGTAATTCAACTACAGACAGCACAAAGCTGTCTGCACAAAGAGTTTTATAAAGAACCCAGGGTTTCCCTTACATAGGCGTAGCCGTGGCGGCCCGCCACGGCTGAAATCCCACCGCCACGCCTACAACATCCCAAGTTTTATATATGGTTTTTTTTGCACCGTTTCCAGAAGAAGCAGCGGGAACTACTGTGTTGTTGCTTGTGATCACAGCCGGCAGGCAGCAAGGAGGAGGAGGCAGGGCAGGGTGGTTACAGCTATGAGCGTACGGATAAAGCATTTTTGACGAATACGAGCATGAAACGAGTGTAAAACTCGTAAATATCTGTAATCGTGCTGAATGAAATCCTCATTGGGTAACTGACTGTCTTCACGCTCTGTGATTGGCCAGTCAGATAGAGCGCCCGCCCCTCCCTACACACAAAACTGCAGCCGGGAGCTCCGTCAGCTCGGCCCAGGCATCAACGCACACACACAGACAGTAAAGCCGGACGGACACTGTGCGACTTTTTCACTTTTTTTGAGCTGATTTTCCACTCGTGCGAGAATCCACAAGATCGGGGCGAGTTTTGCGCTGAGCGTCGTGTAGTGTACAGGGGGGGTTACGAGAGGCGATTAACACCACGTGACCAGCTACCGATCAGCAATCGTGAGCTTGCATGGACTTCTGGAGTGTTTAATATTTATCTCGTTCCTCATGAGGGTTGAAGCGGCGCAGCGAGCGGCTGCGACCCAAAAAGTATCAGAACTATGGCGTTTAAAGCGTGCCACAACCCGTGCACGCGCATTGGGTCCACAGCGCGCGTGTGAACGGGACTCGCGAGCGGAAATATACATGGCGAGAGGTCATTTGTGCACTGAGAGGGAGCAAACTGTGTCTGTGAGCGCACAAGGATGTGCACAAGTGACAAACCTGCGTGCGCGCGGTCAACGAGCACACGGCAGAGGAAAACGTGCGCGCGCGGCAGCCTCTGTGCGCGCTCGGCAGCCTCTCTGCGCGCTCGGTTTCTGACTCCTGCTCGCTCGGCTGTAAGGGTTTTGGCACTCTGGAGGCGTGGCCTGTGGCAGATCTTCTCTGTCCTCTGATTGGTTAGTGTATCCCGCACTTTACCCTCTACCTATCTATATAAAAAAGTCTACTAGTCAAGTAGTTGCTGGCATAGCTCAGTTGGAAGAGCGGGTGACTCTCGCTCCGGAGGATCCAGGTTTGAGGCCGGGCAAGGAAAATGTAGTAGATGTCATGTAAATTTTTCTTAATTTCAGGTATTTTACAGTTGTGACCGTTCAACTGTCATTAAACGTCCGAATGTTTGCTGGGCAGTGTTTTAAAAAGTGCACATAAGCTAGATGGTTTTAACCATATAAAATTACATTTTTTGTGATACTGGAAAAATACATACTGAAATAAAACTACTGATTGAAAACTTTATGACTGTGGTTGTACAATATATGACTCACTAATACACTGCAAACTCCCTTAGAGTGGGGCTTCCAGAGAGAGAGAGAGAGAGAGAGAGAGAGAGAGAGAGACAGAGAGAGAGACAGAGAGAGAAAAGTTCTTGCCTCATTAATGAATTGTTTATTTTTTTCAGTATTTAATTGACAAATTATCCTTTCAAATAATTAATTGATGAGTTACATAATTGTCCATTTAGAATTGTTGAATGGACTGAGTCAAGTTTGGTGCACTTTATATATTTCAAAACATGTTTTTTTTTAAATTTTAATGATGCATATAAATAATTTAAATGTTAATTTAATGAAATATTTCTATTTTTTCATTACCTCACCCTTGTTTTGACAAAAACGGGACCTTGCTGGATAATATCATGGAGAAACTATTTGTTCACAGTACATGGCTCCGTAAGGATCTGTGTACCAAAGGAGGAGATACTCAGAAATCTGTCTGCAGATTGTTACAACCCAGACTGGAAGTGGCGGGCTGTAATAAGAAAGGAGACCAAACAGAGGAGTGGGGGTTCAACAACTGATTTATTTAACAAAAGTAAGGATTTACTAAAGCAACTTAGTGAACAGAAAATGGCCATCTCAAGGTTTTACTCGGATGTCCCTCAGCAGGGTGCAGCACTGTTGAAGGTCATCTGAATGAAAGCTTGATATGCAGTTTCTTTATGAAAGTGTGTAAATATACAGTATGGTTGCCGTACATATGTTGAGGTTCTCAGACATCAGGCTTCTTTGCCCAGGCCTTCACTAGTGGGCTATTTTAAAAGTTGGTAAGGAGAAAAACCACAGCATATAGCTGATTGTTTACAAATGCAAGGAGGGGAATAACAATCAAAATGCTTGTGTTCTTGGACCAGATGAATGGAGCGCTCCACATGCACTCAGAGATGTTATGGCTTCTGTTTCTATAACTTTACATGGAGACATTTGAGGTTTGCCAGAAAGGAAAGCTGGCCTGTACACTTTGCAGGGCACAATGTCATCAATGCAGAAACCCCTGTCTACCAAGATGACCATCTCTAGTTGTAGCATTTTCAACACACCAGATTCCCAGGTTGGTCGCTGATAGTTCCAGCATACAGTGCTGAGACAAAGGTCACTGGCCTATGTGGCACAATCCAAATGAGCCTCTTCAGAGTGCAATTGAACTTGAGGAAAATATATGACTCTGGAAGAGAGGGGAATATGGCCATTGACACCTCAGATCAGTGCAGTCAAGATTTACTGGTGTTTGGGTAGTCCTGAACGTGTTGTGATGCCCCCACCATCTCATTGGGTTTTCATTTGTGTTTAATTGTGTTTTTCTTCTGTTGTAGGCAGCTGGTTAAGCAGCCTTGGAGGCACCTGGGCTCAGGGTGTGGTGCTGCCTACAAAGCCTACTGTTTTTCTGCTTTCACTGGGTCTCTCCTGTGTGGTGGAGAGTCCTCACTGGCCATTTTCTGTTCACTAACTTGCTTTAGTAAATCCTTACTTTTGTTAAATAAATCAGTTGTTGAACCCCCCCTCCTCTGTTTGGTCTCCTTTCTTATTACAGCCCACCACTTCCAGTCTGGGTTGTAACAATCTGCAGACAGATTTCTGAGTATCTCCTCCTTCGGTACACAGATCCTCACTGAGCCATGTACTGTGAACAAATAGTTTCTCCATATTATCCAGCAAGGTCCCGTTTTTGTCAAAACAAGGGTGAGGTAATGAAAAAATAGAAATATTTCATTAAATTAACATTTAAATTATTTATATGCATCATTAAAATAAAAAAAAAACATGTTTTGAAATATATAAAGTGCACCAAACTTGACTCAGTCCATTCAACAATTCTAAATGGACAATTATGTAACTCATCAATTAATTATTTGAAAGGATAATTTGTCAATTAAATACTGAAAAAAATAAACAATACATTAATGAGGCAAGAACTTTTCTCTCTCTGTCTCTCTCTCTCTCTGTCTCTCTCTCTCTCTCTCTCTGGAAGCCCCACTCTAAGGGAGTTTGCAGTGTATTAGTGAGTCATATATTGTACAACCACAGTCATAAAGTTTTCAATCAGTAGTTTTATTTCAGTATGAATTTTTCCAGTATCACAAAAAATGTAATTTTATATGGTTAAAACCATCTAGCTTATGTGCACTTTTTAAAACACTGCCCAGCAAACATTCGGACGTTTAATGACAGTTGAACGGTCACAACTGTAAAATACCTTAAATTAAGAAAAATTAACATGACATCTACTACATTTTCCTTGCCCGGCCTCGAACCTGGATCCTCCGGAGCGAGAGTCACCCGCTCTTCCAACTGAGCTATGCCAGCAACTACTTGACTAGTAGACTTTTTTATATAGATAGGTAGAGGGTAAAGTGCGGGATACACTAACCAATCAGAGGACAGAGAAGATCTGCCACAGGCCACGCCTCCAGAGTGCCAAAACCCTTACAGCCGAGCGAGCAGGAGTCAGAAACCGAGCGCGCAGAGAGGCTGCCGAGCGCGCACAGAGGCTGCCGCGCGCGCACGTTTTCCTCTGCCGTGTGCTCGTTGACCGCGCGCACGCAGGTTTGTCACTTGTGCACATCCTTGTGCGCTCACAGACACAGTTTGCTCCCTCTCAGTGCACAAATGACCTCTCGCCATGTATATTTCCGCTCGCGAGTCCCGTTCACACGCGCGCTGCCATGTATATTTTCGCTCGCGAGTCCCGTTCACACGCGCGCTGTGGACCCAATGCGCGTGCACGGGTTTTGACAGGGGTATGACGCGATACAGAACCGCTCACGGCGCATTCGCAATCCTGCATCAACACCGCTCACCCGCTATTTCCCCAATAACACACGTTGTTCGTTTTTATTTCTGCACGGTTTTTTACTCACAAAGATTGTCAAGAAAGCGTGTTTGTCGTGTTCATGTCAAATTAAACTGATCACAAAACACAGATTTACTTTTATTTCATTGTCCTCATCCAACCCCCATAAATCCCTGTGTGTCCTCCTGCAGCACTCCCGAAGGACAACAGGCAAAACAAGACAAAAAAGTCTGACGTGTTGTGTAAAAACTGCTATTTTTAGCATATTTTAGGTCCGACGTGTTGCTACCAGACGTACAGTGAGCACATGACTCGTGAGATCTACCCTGCGAGGAAGTCGTACAGTTTGAGCTGAAGCTGTGTTACGAGTGAAAAAGCCGCACAGTGTCCGCCCAGCTTATTATAATGTTCACTGTAATGCATCTTGATGTTCTTAACAAATAAATTAAATAAAAGATATTGGTCAATAATGCCAAATATGTACATTTGTGTTTCAGTCATTTTTATACTGGCTTAAAAATACTTCATTAAGTCTACTAAGCAGGGGTGTAGAACGTTTTTAATAATGATCTTGGACCAAAATAAAGGGGGCAGAAAGTCAAATAAAGGGGGCAAAAGAAGATGTTTTTCCAGACGCCAAGAAAAATTAAATGCCAAATCCACTGAACAGAAATTATTCTTGTGCAAATATTGGTGTACTCACATTTAATACTAGTTATTACAATGCAGCAGTCGCTGGATTGGTGCAGTTCAAAGTGGAGTGCACCAGATAAAACTACATTAACATAAAGGTGAGACCCCCCCCCCCCCCCCCCGCCAACACCACCTCCACCACGGCTGGAGGGGAAACACTGGAACCAAATCCAGTAACATGAGTGGCCCAAAAGTTATTTCTTGTACCTATAAGGAGCCACAGCATCCTTTTGTTTTTAATATCTAAAAGACGCTAAGAAGCCTCTGACTGAAGACACTCTTCTGTTGTCGGACAGTCTTGTGAAGAGAATGCTTAGGGTTGTTCATAATTTTCTTGATTCTCTGGAGAATCTCTTTGCATTATCTCCTCCAGCGGTTCCGAAACTGCCGAAACTCTGTCTGAGTCCTAGCCTGGCAAGCCAGACTAAATAAATGTATTGATTACTTAAAACTTTGCAAAGCAAGAATTTGGTCTAGTTCACTAGGCTAGCTGAGTCCTTGAAAGGGCTTGGAGTTCCTCCATCTTGTTGGCCAGTGATCTCACATTGCCCATTATGATTGATGGAAGAGATGGTTTGAATTTCCTCTTTCTCTATCTCCATTTTGCTCCCGCTCTGCATCCACGCTTCTTGCGTTTTAGCTCATTTGGGATTTGTGGCTTCAGTTGAGGTATTATTTCAGCCTTTCCAATGTTAATCAGCTGCTCCCGATTATAAACCAGCTTGTTGCCGTGGTTACGCATCATAACAAATGTTCAAAAAGTGAAAAAAGCTAAAAGAATAACAGTAAAAATCCTCCAAGCTTCACAGCACCAGAAACAGAAAAGTTAAGTGTCCAAAAAATACAGTTTTTCTTGACAAACTAGAAGAAAAAATGCCCAAGAAAAGGCAAAACTTACATATAGTCAACAGAGCTACTCCAACATGCAGCCGCCCAGAACAGCGGAGTTCCGAAGGCGGAAAACGTAGTCCAGTGTAAATACTGTAAAACGGATTTTTAGCCTACCACAACACCACATCCTCCAAGCTGCAGCACCTGACCAGGAAACATCCACATGTAAATGCCACTTCTGCAAGCGGACTCGGATATGTTCTGCGGACACTGTGCGACTTTTTCGTTTGTAGCACTCAGTTTCAGCTCACACTGTGCGTCTGGTAGTAACACGTCGGACCTAAAAATGTGCTAAAATAGCAGTTTTTACACAACACGTCAGACTTTTTATTGTGTTGTTATTGACGTCTGTTGTCCCTCGGCATTGCTGCAGGAGTACACGGGTATTTATGAGAGTGGCGGAGGAAAACAAATGAAAGTAAATAAATGTTTTGTGATCAGTATAATTTGGCATAACCACGGCAAACATGCGTTCTCGACAATCCTTGTTATTGTGTGAGAAAAAAAAGTGTAGGAATTAAAACGGACGTGTGTTAATAGGGAAATAGCCGGCGAGCCATGTTTGCGCATGCGCCTTGAGCGGTTCTGGTGCTGTTTGGGCCGCAGCCGCTCGCTGTGCTACGTCAACGGTTATCCTCCTAGTTTTTGTCTGGCTTGCAGGCTAGTAGATTCTCACACGAGGGGAAGATCGGCTCAGGTTGTATACTTATTTTTTGCACAGGCATTTGTTTACTGTAAAGTTGAAGTGCTGAAGTTTTGAAAACTAGTTTTGAATAAAACTTGAAGAATAACTGGCAATTGCTCGCTCATTTTAAGAGGTCTTTCATATTTTATAACGTGCTATTTGATATAATGGCTTACAAACACAAATGGTTTACAAACACAAAAGGGTAATTTATTAGAGTACTCGATTAATCGATAAAAGATTCGATAGAGTACTCGATTACAAAAATATTCGATAGCTGCAGCCCTAAAACGAAGCCTCGAGGCTTCTTGTACTCGAATTATTCGAGGTACTCGAGGAATCGTTTCAGACCTAATTTTAAAGGTAGGCACAGTATGTAAAAAATATTACTGTTGCCACTATTGAGATGTCATTTATCTCAAATTTTCATCAGCCTGAATTTATACCTGGAAATAAAACGCTTCATTTCAGTGAAACTCCGCCCACGCCCACTCTACAAAATGTTCCTACAACAGTGTCTTAGTTGAGACAGATGTTGTATTTGCTATCCATTGGTTAAGTCATCTGTCTGAGCACTCTAACCACTGAACTACCAAGTCTACATGACAGCAGTCGCCTAAATCCTGTGCTGGCCAGGGGAGACAGGTTTCAGGCCAGAGACTAGCTACCTGGAGAGGAGCAGGGCCTGATGATGAAACTAGTTTCTATTGAGGCTTTACAGGATTTTCAAAGTAAAAGTCAAAATTAGCTAATGAAACAGGAAAATGCATGAATGCAGCCAAAAACAGGGTTATTTGTTTTTTTAAATGAGGAAATAACAATATCACATGCGGAGCTCCAAAAATTGGATTGCCTATTATATGGCCCCTTAAAATGAGTAATTCAGACCAATAACAGCAAGCTACCAGCCAGCTGATACAAACAACACTTCCTCTATGCCAGAATGTATTTATCTACTTAGCAGCTTACAAGAAAGAAAGAAAGAAAGAAAGATTTCAAAAAATTATTAAAAATATGTTTAAAACGAGAGAAAAAAAATAAAAACTGTGATTAAAAATTACTAATGTAATGAAAGGGAGAGAGCAAATGAATAGGAAAGAGGGAAATCAGTGGATGACGGGGAAAGGCAGAGTAAGGAGATGGTGGTGATGAAGGTCAAGCAAAATCCAGCCTGAACAGGTGAGTTTTCAGCTGCTTTTTAAAGGAGACCACTGAGTCCACAGATCTCAGGCTGAGGGGGAGAGAGTTCCAGAGTCTGGGGGCCACAGCAGCAAATGATCGGTCACCTTTGGTCTTTAGCCTGGTGCGTTCCACAACCAGTAGGCTTTGGTCACTGGACCTCAGGCACCTGCTGGGGGTGTAGGGACTGAGAAGATCACCAATGCATGATGGTGCTTGTCCATGTAAGGTCCTATAGACCAGAACCAGGATCTTGAAATGAACACTGAAGTTAACTGGCAGCCAGTTTAGCTGGAGAAGAAGAGGGGTGATGTGGGTGTGTTTGGAGGACTTTCCTTGTCATCTAGGTGCTGATCTGTAACTAACAACAGCCAAGAAACTCAAAGAACAGGATTGAGAGTGTGATTGTAGTAACCAAATTTGACCACAGGATGTCATCTTACTTTATTAGTACACATTGCACCTTTAATAGAAGCTGTTATTTTATATATTTTGTGCAATGTAACATAATACAAAACCCTTGTTTATGCAACAATGTCTGATTCATGTTCACAAAAACATGATTTTGTACATGGGAATTGCTGATTTAGCAAACTACTCTGATCTGTCAGAGAGCTGCAGAGCTAATCAGACAGCGACAGACTGACCTGTTTTTTGCTGTGACCACAGGCACACCATGCATACAGTTTCCCTGCAGTCAGCTTTACTCTGTAGGGCAGCCGGGCAGCAGGGACAGGTTGCGTGGTCTGCAGACGACTCTGAACCTGGAAATTCAACCATCACACACTTAAAAATATCTCCAAGAGATGGTTTAATTAAGAGAGTAATAAGTATTATGTTAAATGTAATTTTAAGACAAGTCGTTATCGACCAAAATCTGTATCAGCAGATCAGAGATGTGCAAGATTTGAAAATTGGTATTGGCCCTTAACCACCAGAGTCGGTGCATCTCAAGTGGAAACGCGCTGGCTTTAAAATAGTAACATGGGTAGATAAACATGCAAAATATGTCAATTTTAATAATAAAAGGGTTCAACTCAAACATTTATTTGAAAATAAACACCTAATAAATTAATATCATGAAATCACTTCTTAAAGTTTATAGCAGTAAAAGAAAAAGTCTAAATCAAGTAATTCACAACATTTAATTAAACAATAAAATCAGATTATCGTCCTAAATGTAGAAACGTTTACTTGTTAAATGAGTGAATGAAGGGCCCCCACCAGCTTTACCTTCTGTGTGTCTGTGTTAAAGGTGAGTGAATGAAGGTGTGTCAGCTTCTTGTTTACAAAGTGAAAAATTAACAATCAGGAAACACCCGCAGACTCGACTCATACATTAAAATCTAAAACACTTAATTCTCTTGAACATCCACGACTAAAAAAAATCCACTCGTAAACGTTGAAACTTTAGCAGACAAGTCTCACCGCAGACACGGAAACCAGCGGAAGGAGGAGCGGGGGTCGTCTGAAGGTCTGTGAGCAGCCTCTGCGCACTAAGCACAGCACTGCGCTCATTCTGACGCACTCTTTGCGGATCGGAAGGTGGTGTAGATAAATATGTTTTCCTTTCCACGCTCGGTGTCTTCACAAACCAACAATCTCCAGAGTCTTTCTGACACAAGTGCGCATGCCCGATTAGAGGAACGTCCTGTGATTTAAAAAAAACTTGGGCGGAAACAAGTGACGTTCACCGGAAATTCGTCACTGCTGGGCGGTAGTTTTTTTTCTTGTTTTTTCCACTTTTTAAAAAGTATTTTGAAAATATTATTTACAAGCGATTATACGCACGTTATGTTTTAGTTACACTTGATTACTAAGCTGCTAAATAAATTAAAGAAAACAAACACAAATGAAGACATTTTGATTTCTGAAACTTACATCAAATTTGAAAAATAAATCTTTAGTAGGCTTTGTCAGCTGGATGACAAAGGTTACTTTTTTTTTATCATTGACCTTTCATAAGAATGAGTTGTGTTTAATTATTTAGCAATCGGGGTCAGCAGCAGCTCAGCGACAGACGGGTTGTCCAGAAATCAAAATTGCAGGTTCAATAGCACCCGACAGAGAATTCTGCTGTAGTGTCCTTGAGCAAGTCACCCAACCTCCCTGCCTGGTGGATTTTTATCGGTGTACTGGTGATGTCTGTTCTTCTCTGTAAGTGCGCCCCAGGGCAGCTGTGGCTACAATATAGCTCATCACCATCAGTGTGTGAATATAGCACTTTGAAGTCTTCTGAAAGGTGCTATGTAAGTTCAGGTAATTTATCATATCATTTATCATCTACTCACATGTAGCCTATTTATTTAAAAATTGTATGAATTTAAAATGTTTTAACTTCAATTGCGACCAAGAGTCACAACACGCACACAAATAGTAGTTATTTAGGACTTTTTTCTTAACTCCTAAAGTTTTTACACTAGTGCAAGCTTGGTTACACTTTATTTTTGGTCTTCATACCACTAAGTGGGTTTTGGATAATGTGTCATTTCATGTTGGTGCTTGTGAATAAATATTTTGTCTCATGTTTAATATTCTTCTTCAAATTTCTGGATATTTCATTTTAGTTGATTAGAAGCTTTTTAAAATATAAACAATTTATTTAAAGAACAAAATGCCAGACATTGAGGTTGGCGATGGGGTCTGTCTACCACAGACGTAATCATCCTTTTTGTTATGTTTACGTCTACTCTTTGTCGACTTACGTCACGACTATGTGACCACGCGGGTTGCCAGTTACCAGTGTCAACACAGCAATAAATACACAAGTCTTCCAAACAAATCTAAAATTTCGGAAAGACAGAAACTGGATTAGTTAACTTAAAAAACGTTTGGTCAAGTCAGTTTGTTTATAGTTGAACAGCCTGGATACACACCACAAACAATGCCAAAATATCCATCAACTTAAAAAGTTATATGGTCAAAATATGCAGAACAAGGGTCTTAAATGTACACCAATAGTACATGTGCGTAATGTGGTCACTCTAAAATGTTGTTGCTAAAAACAGTCATTCATCACCTTTATTAAAATTCTTCTTTTTTATAGATTAGTATAAAATAGATTAGAATAGAATTTTAAAAAGGACATTCATTGTGCCTCTATGAGGAAATTTACTTAAACCAATGGGTACTAAAGTTACTATTGAAATACCATGTTGATATTCAGTACTATAAAAAGAATAATTCAGATTTAATATGTTACATTGTAAACTTTATATTGTGATGTATGATGTGCTACTTTGCTCATTTAAAGAATGGAGGAATAAATCATGTAGTAGAAAAAGCGATGGGATTAAATAAGTTCTCTTCTTCCCAATCCCTTTCAGACAGCAATTAGTCGTTTATTCTCACAATATTCAGAAATGCTTCAACACTGTGTACAGTGAGAGTTTTGTAATTCATGTTATCTGCCTATCTGAAACAAAGAAATAAATGAATGATAATTCATCCATTCATCCATCAATTCCCAGTCATATTAAATACTAGAAACTTTGACTAAGTAATCATGTTAAAAACAAAACTAAGCTACATATTGAGTAGGGCTAATGAAGTCTATAATGCTACCTAATCCCTTTCAAACACACAATTGCATAATGTAAATATGGTGTATCATGTAAATGAATGTTTGAAAACAAATTACTACTACTACTACTACTACTACTACTACTACTACTACTACTACTACTACTACTACTACTACTACTGCTACTACTACTACTACTACTACTATTAAAACTACTGCTACTACCAAACAAAGCAACTAAGCAACACATTGAAAAGTTGAAGATATTTTCATCTAGAATATCAAAATTTTGTAATAAATAAAAACTACTTTATAATGATCTCTCGTGTACGGAAGAGGATTAGGGTTAGGGTTAAGAGAAAAAAAAGGAAAATAAAGAAAGAAAAATCTGACTTTAATCTCAGAATTCTGTCCTTTTTCTTCCTTACACTTGTGAGAACACGCTGAATGTGTGTTTTTAAAAAAATCATAGATGACAACTTGATGGACAGAAAACGGGATTATAGCATCAACTAGGTTCCCAGAGTGCATGAAAACTCGAGGTAAATTTCTCACGAAATATGAACAGCATTTTTGTTTAATTTATAGTTTTGCCCTTTTGGTCAGTAAGGTGCTTATCAAACCAGAATTTAATTGAATTTAATTCAATATTTTAAGTTTTAGAAATTTCAATTGTGTTTGTGCATCATAGGTTTGATATTCACCTATAAAAAATTGTGGAAATTAACAAAAATGTAAGAATGTTGTTTTTGACAGGTTATCTATTGTAATAAAAACTGCTTTGATATGTAAACTAAAATAGTCTCAACTATTTGTTTTATTAATCGGCAGTTCAACGTGACTGATTTGCGTACAAATGTCCAACCTGGCAACACAGCAAGCACATCGCGCTGTTTGATGTTTGCTGACCGAGTCATTTTCTCTGTGGGTCAAACTCAACATCAGATAAGCTCCGCTCACATTTAATACGCTTCATTTTCAAGACGTCACTAATGTAAGTCTTTTCTGGTTTGTATTCGTGTTTGAAACACATAATTTGCTCAACATAATTCGATTTTTACTGCGGTTTCGTGCTTTCATCGTCGTATTGTATTTACGTATTGTTTCGTTGCTAGCTAGCGCTTATTAAAATGATCTTCATGACTTGCCGTCGAGCGCTCCGTTGCGGGGCAACTGTTGCTTCAGAAACACCTTTCCTTAAACTAACAATCGAAGCATTTGTCTGAAGTTCGTCGGCTTCTTGTAGTCCAGAAAGACTACTTTAAGACCGGACCCGCTCGTAGAACCATGGCCTTTTGCTCGGTCCCGGACTTCCCGGCTGTTCTGCTGGCTCTGGAGGGTTTAAACGACCTGAACAAGCAGCTAAAAGACGACGGGGTCCAGTTCGCACCGGAAGCTAGCATCCATCTGGCCGCCATAACCGCTTCCATCACGAAGCTGGAGGCCAACAGGCGCATCGCTCATGACCAGCTGGAGGTGGAAACCATTGAAACTAGCAAGCTGAGACACCAAATTAAAAACATGTCCGATCGTGTGAGAAATGAAATATTGGCAGATGTAGCCGCAGCCCGGGCCTCAAATGGTGAGAAGATGGAGCAGCTGCGCAAAGACCTCCACACGGCCTCTCAGCACAGAGAAGAGACTGTTGGAAAGCTGCAGGGACTTTTAAACCAAAACAAAACACTTCATTCAGAGCAAGAGCAGGTGAAAGCTGAGCACAAGGCTGCCATTGCTACCCTGAATGACCAAGTTGATCTCAAATACAGCTTGCAGAAGAAGCTGGATCAGACGCTGCAGCGAACTGAAGCGCTGGAATACTCCATCTCTGCCATCAGAGAGAAAAAAGCATCTCTCCAGCAAAGCATGATGTTACATAGAGAGGCTTGCTCAGAGGAAAAACACACCCTGTCGAGAGAAATAAACGAGATGGTGGAGAAAATTAAGCAGCAAGAGAATGTTGTTTCAAAAAGACATCAGGAATTAGACGTAATTAATGACAAGAAAGAAAAAGCTCTCTGCCATCTAGGTGAACTCGGCACCAGGAGGTCCAAAGTGGAGAGAAGTCTTCAAAAATTGACCTCATCTCGTTGCCAGTTGGAGCAACAGTTAGATGAAGAAACCAACAGGAACCAGGAGCTGAGGCAGCAGATAGAAATGCAGAAGAAGGAGTTCCATGAGTCGCAGAATACCTTTAGCCTCACACTCCAAAGCCTTAAAGAGCAAATCGCAGTGATCAGCGCTAAAATAGAAAACGGTCGAGCTTCAGGACCAGTCCTTAAAAACACCTTGTCTCAGGTTCAAGAGATATTCAGACGTCAGCACAACAAAGAAAATGAAGCTCAGGCAAATTATCTCTCTGTTTCCCAGCAGCTGGAACAGTCCAAGCTGAGGCTGGAGGAGTGCATCGCCTCTGTAAACATTTACAACTATGAGATCATGATGATGGAGAAGCAGATTAGTAAGCTCCAGGAACAGGAAAACGTCACCAGGTGCGTGTTTGAGAGGAAGCATGGAGATATATGCAGCGATCTGAAGGCTGTGAAGGATGCCATCAGTCAGTGTGAAGAAGAAAAGAGAAATCTTGCACAGCTCCTAGAGGAGACCAAGAGCATACAGGAGGAGCACATGGAGAATATGATGTCTGAAATCAGTAATACCAGGAGGAGGTACGAGGAGCTGCAGCAGGAGGAAGCTACACTTCTGCAGCTGCAGCCCAAATGTGCAGATCCTGACTTGCTGATGAGCTACGTGACTCAAACTGAGATGGAATACAGAGAAATGGAGAACACATTCCAGCAGGAGATGCAACAGATTACTGCAAAGACAGAGCACTTCTACAGGAGCACAGAAGAGAAGCAGAAGGAGCTGGAAGAGAAACAGGAGGTGTTGAAGGAGTTGGAGGTTAAGTGGAATGAAGAGAAAAACAGGCACGAGGGGCTGAGTGACCTGCTCAGAGACCTGAACAGGAAGAGGGCTGAGCTGGAGCTGCTGATCCAGGACACGAAGAACCAAATCAGCGTTCTGCTGCAACCCAGAGAGGTCCTGAAGGCCCAGCTGGAGAAGGAGCAGAAGTCCTTCACTGACACGCTATGTAAATACAGCTCAGACCTGAGAACTGTGGAGGTGAGCATCTATAATAACCACTCTGTCCTCCAGAAGGTCGAAGAGGAGAAGAGCCGAATGGACCTCCGCATCAGAGAGATGATGGAGGACATCAGCGTGTACCAGCAGGAGAAAGAACGGTATCAGCAAGAGGTTCAGGAACTCGAAGACAAAATAAAATGCACTCTGGGAAGTTTGGAGAAGATGTGGAAAGAAGATCTGTCAGTAGCTCTGGAGTGGGAGAGCAAAGATGAGGTTTTGTTTGTGTCCATCAACTCTTTGTTGGACCAGCTAAAAACTAGGGAACATCACCTGATGGATGTCAACACACTCGTACACCTGCAGATGATGAACTTTAGCAAAAGACTGGGAGATAAAGCAGCGGCGAAACAGCAAAACTATCAAAAAATCATGACTTACAATCTCTGTTCTAAGAAGAAAGTCAATAATCAGAGTTCCAACTAAAAAAAAAACACAGGAACAGGAAATTGTGTTCTGTTTTATCTGTTGTTGTTGTTTTTTTTTTGTCATTAAAGAAAATCCAAACTGATGCAGCAGAAAGAGACTTTTATTCATCAGTTTTTGTGTTTCATTGCATTGTCCCAACTTTACCCACAACCCGAAGCTGGTTTTAGCAGCAGAGGTTTTTGTTGTTAGCCGTGATCATGTCACGTTTGTTTGTTGGACTTTTTGCTCGGTCGTGTTCTTAAACTAGTTTTCTACTTTGTGTTGCTTCTCAGGTCACTAAAGTCACTCGACCCTGGGAGTTTCATACAAATCATAGATATTTTAAAACTAACAGAAAAAGTGGGGAAACAGGAATTTATTGAGGGATTTCCACACATTTGCATCAAGATATTGACTGTAGAAATAACACACTCAAGCTCTTCTCTAGTTAGATGAACTACCTAGACATAAACAGTTCAACATGTTCTTGAAGAAAATATGAAACGATAAAATAAATTCATGACGCAAAGCAACACAATATGATTATATTATTAGTTTATCATACATAATATATTATTTTATTTAATAAATTATCTATGTATTTTAAGATTTTAGTTAATGACACATGAAAAATATTTGATACTTTATTTTGTCACTTTTGGCCTTCCCTATTTTTGTTTTGTTTTCTATAACATTTGTCATTTGAGGCTTTTATGGATTTTGTAAATTTGTCCAATAAAAACAACTGAATCAACAATTTTACTCTTTTATGACCCGTTTCTGCTTTTGCTACATTTTAAAAAGGGCCAAAATGGATCATATTTACACACCGGTGGTCCCACAGTTGGAGTCAGTAGAACGCAGAGTTTTGGGTCTTAGGAGTAAATTAAATTAGTCTGAAAACTTCTAATCATTTCAAACAGAACATTTTGACTCTGAGTTGATGAATGATAATTAAATTATTCAGAATTGTGTAGATCTGACAGATTTGTATTTATAAGCTGTCCAAAATCTAGTATTAATGGACCTGAATGACCTATATAAATAAGCAGATATTACCAGACTAATAGGCTGTTCTGATGTTTATTATCATGACTTGCATTTAAGTCTTGTTTTGCTTTCTTTTCAGAATAGTTCAGTAATACCAGAACTGAGTCGTGGTCACCTACTCTCGTGCTCTTTTGTAAATAAGTGACATTAAAATAAAATTTCTTTAAATGTGCAGAACACTGAAAAGCCATTTTTGATAATTAGTTCTGATTCTAATCAGTCACTGAGTTTTTCATGCACTCTGAACATGGAAATAGTCTTCCTCTATCTCCTGCATAAGCTTCTGATAAAAAATAGACGGTGAAACTCTAGGATTTGAAAAGCCTGACAGATCTACGTCACAGTGTCACTTAACATTCATGGACTCACCCATCTTGGCGGGAAAACTGTTGTTTTAGCACCCAGGAAACAGCAGAGGACATCTCGACTAGCAGAAGCTAACTCTTAGCAATAGTAACTCCACCACCTGGTAGAACTTCTTCAGGTTCGTTATTGGTGGAGATAAAACGTCAATATTGCAAGTCAGTGGTAGAGTCACGTTGCTGCTAGCCAATGAGAGGCCAGATGCTCATATATCAGGAAATAAGTCTGTAAGAGCATCTGAAGCTCAGCTGTGATGTAGGCAACTTTTAGTTCCTAGAAATGATGCTCCAGTATAGTCATTCCTACTAGAGACCACTGCAAATGTATTTATTAAACAAGTGTTCAACACCTTTACACAATTATAAAAATGTAACTAACAATAGCTGTCCACATCCTGACTCACAGAACTGAAAATGAACTAAAACATTTTGTTTTTAAAGTAGGTAAAAAAACTATTTTAGATTAAGGAACAAACCAAATATCTACATAACAATAATAATAATAGTGATTATTACTAGGTGTTTTAAAGAGTATTTTCTACCCTGCTGTCCTTTTGTGATTTCAGACTTCTCACCTGGACTCAGGTGATGACAGACATTTGTTTCCAACCAGCAGATGGCAGAACGGATCCTGTTTCTGTCTGCGGTGACCTTGCTCTGCCTCCAAAGGGTCGGGTAAAACTCTCCCTGTGACTTCCTGTTGGACTAAAACACGCACACGTGTATGTGCTGAAGGAGGCGTATGCTGGCAGGAGAAGCTTCTAGATTAGAACCATCCAGCTTTGCTTCTGCGGTCGGAGCTGAGGGGAAACGATCACTTCAGTCACGTGAAGGTGGGTACCGGTATTTGTTTTTGGCTTAAATCAACATTCTGGTGGCGTTTCTGTGAAGCAGCATTTCTCAGATGGGCTCTTTTAGCTTTAGTTTTATTAGGTTTACTTGTAGATTTGGTGCAACAACACAGGCCTTTTTCTCCAGAGAGGATGTTGCTCCATAAACCGTTCGCTGCTGATCCATTTTAACCTCCACTGCAGAAGGTGTGCTTTAGAAACAGCTAAAAGTACATTTATCCTTTTATATTTTGGATTTTAGCTGAATCTGAATTTATTGATATTGTTTTTCTTGGTGAAAGAATTTCTTCTGACAGAATGGAAAACCTGCGATACCAGCAACAATAACTTACAGAAGGAGTTGGTTACAGATCGTCTTTTGTTGCTGAAGAGATATTATAGTTCAGGGTTTATTATTAGCAGACTTACCAAGTCTATTCTGAGTGATGGAGGGTCTTTGTCTACTTAGAGGCTGCTAGATTTCTGCAAGATCACAAGAGTCTGTTTTAATATATTCACCTGGTAGTAAAATAAAGACCGGCCTGTTTAAGTAGCACCCTCCTAAGACCCAAACAAGCCGGCGCCATTTTTACTACAGCTGTTTGTGTTTACTCAGCTGTGGAGGAGAGGAGGCCTCCTGTTAAAGGTCAGAGAGTGAAGGAGCAATTTATGCCCACCATCTCCATTCGGGTTGAAATGATATCATGCAGATGAAGTACAACCTCTTAAGTTTCAGCGGATCTGCTGATTGGCTCTTTACGGGTATAGCTAATGTGCTAATCAAACATAGTGAGAGGTTGCAGAACAAAGCTCTGCTCCAGTTTTCAGCTGTTATGTTTAAAGGAACGATGTGTCTTTTCCCTGGCGACAGGGGGCAGTACACATGTATTTTAGAACCGATGTTTTTTTTGGTTATATGGTACGAAGCTGCCAATATTTTCTAACAACCGGGCATTGTTTAATTCATTTTCAACAACATTTCGAGGAATATTTCCAGATATTATTGGTAAAAACTACACATTGTCTCTTTAGGGTTATATGTTTAAATAATGTTAATAACAAAAAGAAAAGATGTAAACAATTACCATGTTATGTTTTAAATAGGAATAGACTAGATGCAGATTGTGAAATTTGATTAAAAAAAAGAAAGCCTCAAATTAAGAAGCTTTCCTTTAAAATAATGTTTATTAATTGTGTAAGAAATAAAAATGGTAGCCAACATATTTGTTATAGTCCAACTTCTATTAAAGATGAAGTTCATAATTTTTTTTCAACACATTTTTAGCGGCTGCTAGTATAAATTAAAGCCTTGTGAGTCGATCACTGTGGGGGGAAACAGCTCTGGCACTCCTGTTTCAGGAAGGGAAGTTTAGCTGGAGGATGGGGAGCAGATAACGACAGGATTTGTTGTCTAACTCTTTATTTCCTGATATTCGGAGGTCTTGCCTCTGATTGGCTAACAGCAATGCGACTCTACCACTGACTCTGTTTGCTTTTCAATGTTGATGTTTTACTTAACAAATAACACAAGCCTGGAGGAGTTCTGCAAGTTGTGGAGTTGCTAATGCTAATGGTTAGCTTCTGCTAATGAAGATGTTCTCTGCTGTTTCCTGGACACTAAACCAAAAACAGCCCTCCCCGTCACGAGTCAAGATGGGTGAGTCCATAAGTGACATAGGTCTGACGGACTTTTTCTGACTTTAAAGAAAATATGAATTAGGGCTGCACAATATATCGAAAAATTATCGTCATCACGATAACAGGACGTGCGATAGGCCCATCGCAAAGCACGTCAAAAACGGCGATAAATGTTTGGTTCAAACATTTCCATCCGTGTCATACATCAACTTTTTGTAAACCAGCTCTGTTTTTTACGCGGAAGTATTATTTGACCAATCAAACGTAGTCCTTCTGATATGCGGCCAATCAGATGGGTCGGTTCACGTAATACGCCCGCCCCCTCCGAGCTGCCCAGCGCTGCTCGGCTGTCTCCATCCGAAGGTTGAGATGTTTGCCAGCCTTACATAACCGCTCTTGTTTTCAGCACCACCACTTCCTCCGCGCGCCGCCGACACCGGAGCGTCGGAGACGGTGCTGCCGAGTGGAGCTTCCCGGGCTGCGCTTACTTTGGGCCGCCGTGCCGCCACCTGGTTCACCCGCTCCAGCACAGACTGTATCCCCAAAATTCCACCATCTCCGCTCCGCCCCTGCTTTCCTCTGCCGCTCGCTTCCCTTGTTCGTCATGCTGGCTCAGATTAACGAACGCACTTTGTGCTGAGGTTTCTGGCTCCGGTTAGCTTCCAGCTAAAAGGCTACAGCAGCACTCTCCTCCCAGTCCCACCCTGAGCTGCTAAAGAGGAGCTAGTTCAATTAGTTAGCTTGTTATCAGAGTCATAGTTGCAGTTTCATCATCTGAGCTGCTTTTTAAAATCTTGGTAAACTTGTTCAATTTGGGGATAAAACAAACGTTTTCACATATTTTCCATGTAGTTTTTTTTTGCCAGTTCCTCTTCTGAAAGGTAGACAATTGTTTTTCTCTTTCCCTCAGAAAATCTTAATATTCTCCTAGTTTGGCCCAGCACAGTTCACTTCCCGCAGCAACAGCCTTATATCATAACCACATAAGTGGAGAAAATGTTCAGTAGCAATGAGAGAATTTGCTGTTGCATTTAAGTGATGTTAACTATTATTTAACATTTAAACTTGTTTTTTGATTTTTTTATTTATTCAAACAACCCTGGTAAGGAATGTTTTTCTGTATTTGGAGCATCAGAAAAAGTTTTATGGTGGAGGTGATGTTTTAAAGTCACTGAGAAACTGCATGCATGCAGTTAGTTGTTTTGCTGCTAATACAGTAGCAGGTGCAGCTGCTAATACAGTAGCAGGTGCAGCTGCTAATACAGTAGCAGGTGCAGCTGCTAATACAGTAGCAGGTGCAGCTGCTAATACAGTAGCAGGTGCAGCTGCATATTTTTGCAATAAAAATGTTATGTTGTAATGGAATTCATGCATTAGTTTTTGTTTGCTTTGAACCCAGAGCAGACGTCACACGCCAGACGACATCAACACTGCATACTTTAGTATTTGTTCATTTATCGTGAGTAATATCGATATCGCAATATTAAGCACTGTTATCGAATATCGTAGGTTTTCCTAATATCGTGCAGTCCTAATATGAATGCATATCTAAACTGTAGAATGTCCTGGTAGGACATGTTAGCATGCTAGCATCTAGCTCAGCTTCTAAAAGTGTTAAAGCTATCATTTATATTATCTCATATTGCAGTGAGGGGATGTAAAATTGAAAGTTTTTTGATGAGGACGACAGCAGCATAAGAATGCAATAAATAAACATCTCTTCTTGTTCCCTCTTCGTGCTGTCACCAAGTGCTTACAGAGCAGAAAGTGCGGGGTGCATTTTTGAGTCTTGTCATGCTGATTTGCTGCTGATATATAAATGCAAACATGCAGATGTCAGCGACATCTTTCTCTTTGTGCGTCTGATCATACCAAGGGAGTTAGAACAGTGTAAAAGTTCCCAGTCGGCCGGATTTCTGCTGCACCTGTTTGTGGTCGAGCTTCCTACCAAACCGCCTCCATGCAGAAAAAGCCCTGAGTCCTGTAGGAGCTCTGATAAGTGCGGTCGGGTTTGCTGTGTTTGCAGAACATTTCGTTCCTTGTGGGGAAGATTTCAGATTGTTTGCTGAAAATCATTGTCATTGGTCAGATTTCATTCAGCAGGAATTTAAATTTTTTACAGACTTTGTCTTGTTTATATTCTAGAGACTCTTCTGATGTTTCTTTTGTGTTTTAGTTTATTTTAAAGACTCATTGGTGCTCTAAACAGCTGTAAACCTGCTTAATGATGCCAGCAGCTTTCTAAGTCTCTGTGTACTTGTGATGTTTTTGTTTACCAGATTCCTGATTGGCTTGTAATCATGACACGTTAGCTGCAATTATTCTTAATGGAGTTTCATAAAGAATTAGTAGGTTTTAAATGTAGCTTCTATTTTCCTTTAACTTTTCAGATTAAAAGGACATCGTAGACATAAAAAAACATTGTTGATGAGTATTAAATAATATAAACAGGTCTAAGTTGAACAGAATTCTACATTCTAGTGGAAAAAGCCAAACAGAGAGTAGTTTTACAGCCAAAGAGACGTAGCTTTCATCTGTTTATGATTTTTATAGTGATAAACAGTTTATAGTTTATAAACTATTCACTGATGCTAATCTGCAGCAAACAGTTGTGTCAACAGAAATAAAGAAGGAACAATCCTGCAGACGGGGTCAAATCTAATAAAAGGTTTTTATTATTTTTCAAATGATGTACCAGCAGGTCAAACCCTGTGAATGTTTACAAACTCAACGATGAGGTTTAGTTTTATTAGTGTGGAAAAGTACAGCATTCAAGATGGAAACGTACACTCGTGTAACAGGACTAAACTTGTTTCTGCAGCTTTATTACAACATTCAGTCTGGGGAAAGCCTGTTACACGTCTGTGCTCCTGAGCACTATTATGCAGCCAGGTCTGATTCATAACTAACACACTGAACCAGCTTTCTGGCATGTCGCCTCCCACACACACACACACACACACACACACACGCACACACACACACACATGCACACGCACGCGCACACTTTCTGATCAAGGCTTTAAAGGCGACCCAGGGAGGCCCGGCTACTCACTGACCTCTTGGCTCTGTTGGGTGACCAGGAATTTTAACCAGAGACGTGATGGAGACGTTGGGTAAGCGGGGGTGTCATTGAACACTTAAATTATAAAAATTGAATCAGTTTAGTCAGATTCTGCTCTGATTTATCTTTTATGCTCTCGACTTTATGTTACTCCTGTTGGCATTGACTGTCCTCTCACACTCTGGTCTGCATGAATCAAAAAGGTCTTGGTCTCAAACGGTTTATAACTTTATAATTCATCTGTTTTTATGTGAGAAAATAACACGTTCTGCAAGAGTTGGTTTCTGTTTCATCTGTCAGATGTTTCTGTGAAAATCGTAAAAAAACTTCCCATCAAAATCAAGTGGGATCCTCGCAAGCTGTTTCAAATGGCTAATATATTCAGATTTACCTGAAAACGTTACTTACATTATTGTTTTTTTTTAACCAAACAGCTCCTGTAGATTATTGATTTTGAGTCTTATTGATAAACCAGAGAGATGCTCTTGTTTTCTGCTGTTTTTAGCCTCTAAAATCTGCCTTTCGTCACTGAAACTTGTGACCTCTTTGGTATCTGAATAAAGATTTTTAACTATCATTTATAGATAAATACATGTGTAATAAAACAAAGCCATGGTGAGCAGAAATGAGTTCTCTTAGGCTTAATTTGAATTTGACAATGAATATAAAGTAGTTGAGGATGCTTTGAGTCGGAATACTGATAGGCAGCGCAGGACGGCTCGCTGGCATTAGGGCTGAAGACTGACGAGAATCCCGTCGGTCCGGCCGTCCTTATTGTTATTCCAACAGGCTGATCGTCCTGAACGGCTCGTTTTTTTTAAGTCAGCTTTCACTTTGTGTTTATTATGTCCAAGATCACCTGATATGTTTCAAACCCCTTTTCAGGGTAATTTTCCTAAAATATGAGAAAAATGCGAAACATTTTAAAGTTAAAATGAAGGTTGGGGTTAAATCGGGTCGCTGAGGCTGTAAACACGCTGCTGTAAAACACTTGTTTCATTTGTGCCATGTCTTTTATTATTTATCCGTCAGACTTTATTCATAAAATTCATTTAAAATCTGAAATGTATGTTGTTTTAAATCAAAACGTTTATCATTATCATTATTATTATTATTATATCACCAGTGTGTCCGATGGGTGGAGGAGCCACCAGGCTGTACACCTCCCTGACTCAGACCTTCAGCAGCAGCAGCTCACCTCTCCCCGTCCCCCACTCCTACCTGTCCCCCCAGCCTTCACTCACAAACCTGGATCCAGATTTATACCTGGTACTTTGATTTCCTTCTCTTTATTTTTAAATAGTCTCTAATAAAAATGATTTTTCTAGATTTCCCCACAAATCTGATTCTAATTCCAATTCCCATCTGTCCTGTAGAAGGGGTCCCCTGTGTGTCCCCTTGATCCAGTGGAGCTCCCTCAGCAGTGCCAGGAGGCGCTCAAGGACCGGCCTCTTCACTTCCACAGGGACTTTGTTCACATGACTGATCGAAATGGAAACAGCGCCCCCTGCAGCCCCATCAGGGTGATGCAGTGGAACATTTTAGCCCAAGGTGGGTTCATTTCAACCAGGCCTGAGATCCTGATTGAAAAATTATCGTTTAGTTTTAGCATGTCAGACTTTTAAATCATACTCCAAGCTTTGTTTCCTCTAAAATCAAACTTTATTTTTTTAAACTTTAAAACAAGTTTTTACTTTTACCATCAGATGAACTAATTATGGGCAGAAATATCTGCTCTGGTTCTGCCACGGTTAAAATAAGAACAGAAGTTTGACACCTGCAGTACTTTGATCCTCCTCCAGGTGGTAGAAGAGCAGGTTTTTGAGGTCCTGTTAAAAGTATAAAATTATTTATTCTCAGTCATAAAATGTATGATCTTAAATTTAATAACTAGAAAAATAACACCAAGAACAGGTAGAAATATGGACCACTGTCTTCTACTGACGTTTACTGTTAAGCTCCATCTCTCTTTTCTCCGTCAGCTTTGGGCGTAGGAGTTGATAACTTTGCCCGGTGTCCCCTGGAGGCCCTTGGCTGGTCCCGGAGGAGGTCCCTTATCCTGGAGGAGATCCTCACCTACCGACCTCACATCCTGTGTATGCAGGAAGTTGACCACTTCTATGACACTTTCCAGCCGGTCCTGGCGGGCCTGGGCTACGGCAGTCACTTCTGTCCTAAACCCTGGTCTCCGTGTCTGAACGTGGAGGGAAACACCGGCCCAGATGGTTGCGCTCTCTTCTTCGACGAGTCTCGATTCGAGCTCCTGGACAGCGTGAACCTACGACTCTCCGCCATGATGATTCCGACTAATCAAGTGAGTCAAGTCTTCCTTTGGTTTCACAAAAAAAAAAAAAAAAAAAAAGACTCCGAAATCTTCTGTAACACCAAGCTGTGTCACCTCAGGTTGCCGTGGTGACGACCCTGCGTTGTCGCAGCACGGGGAGGTGCGTGTGCGTGGCTGTGACCCACCTGAAGGCTCGGTCCGGGTGGGAGTGGCTCCGCAGTGCAGAGGGATCAGACCTTCTTTGGCATCTTGAGAATCTGGTCCAGACACCTGTTGGGGATGACTCCGGCGTCAAAGTGCCGCTGCTCATTTGTGGGGATTTCAACGCCATCCCAGCTGAGGAGGTGTATCGACGTTTCGCAGCATCTCCTCTCGGTTTGGACTCTGCCTACAAAAAACTCAGCCCAGACGGTCTGACCGAACCAAAGTACACGACCTGGAAGATCCGAGCCACAGGGGAGTCTTGCTCCACTCTGGACTACATCTGGTACACGAAAGACTCGCTGAGGGTGGACGCTGTCCTGGACATGCCCAGCGAGGAGCAGATTGGACCCAACAGGCTTCCATCCTTTCACTACCCATCTGACCATCTGTCTCTGGTTTGCGACTTCAGCTTTAAGGAGAAGGAATGAAGCCGCAGCCAGCTGAGTCGAGGTTGGCTACTGATCTGTTTTTCCTCCACGAGAAGCGAAGCATTCGAATCGCTGAGTGGGCGTGAGATGGTGAAGATGTGAGGACAGGAAACCAGAGAATGAAGTTTGTGACTGAAGTGTTTAAATAAAGGTGCTCAGGTTGCATAGATGCAAACATCAAGTCTTCCATCATGGACTTATGACAGTGAAGACCAGTTTTCTGTATATGAACTTTAGTTTTTACTGGACAATCCTAATTAATCCCAAGTCAATATTGTGTTTCACGTTGATTAAAAACAAGTGTTTTGGCTTGAAATCTTTTTTTTTCCTTCCCCACTTGGGTTGGGGTTCAGGGATGAATGTTAAAAGGTTGATTTCAGACATATTTTGTATAGTTGTTGGTAAATCCCTGTGGGTCCAGAGAAAAGTGGACATCTCATCCGAGGAGCTTCAGCTCAAAACAGAAAACTTGCTGCTGGAAAACCTTTTTAACCCGTAATGATTTAATTACAACCAGGGACGCACAATATAATCTGCATTCATATCTGAATCGGCTGATGTTAGCCATTTTTTAACATAGTGGTATCAGTCCGATAAGTCAAACTGGGCCGATATTAAACAGTATTTTTTCCATCTAGTAGCCATTTGTGAGTTTCAGATAGGGACGGGGGTGATGATGCGTAATTATTTGGTTATATGACAGTGATAGTAATCATCTCAGAAGTATAAATGTGTGATGAGTATATTTTTATACATAAGTCTTATATTTGGGGTGTTTATTGGCAAGAATCTGGCAACATATCAACACAGGGGAGACTATATTATAACTTATACTAAAAGCCAGACGATGTGATTTTTATTTTTTTACCCAACTTAACAGAAAAACTCAGGCCAGATGCCTCCAAGTGTCAAATGTTATCCAAGATTTAGTTCTGTCAGTGAAGGCGGTAAAAACTGCTGCCACCTAGCAGTTAGGGTTGGAATTGCACCACACAAGATATTTTGTGAACATTTACATGTAAATTCTCCTTTAAAAGCAGTGTATTTTTTTTTATTATCAACTCATTACAATATTTGTGTATTGATATTTTCTTACATTCCTTCTCATTTTAATGTAAATATCAGTTATTGAAGAGAACAGCGATATTAATATCAGATGTCTATTGGCCTACATTTTCATATCTGTGCATCCCTAATTCCAACATCCACACAAAAGTGAAATTGCATTAAGCTCAAGTCCAGCGGCCTTTTATCTGAACCTACCGAGACGTTCCTGCAACTTTAGGTTCCATTCCTAAAGGTTTAATAAAAAACAAAACCCTTTCTTAATCCGCAGTGGATTTATTTATTTTTTTAATCTTGTGCATCTTTTCAGTCCGACACGACTGTATTATCTTGTTGATAATATGAACAAAGTAGAACAAACTTCAACTGGAAAATAGAAAATGCAAACTGAATGTTATTTTGAAAGATCAGATTAGGTTTTCAGCGTAATCCTACAAACGTGTAGAAACAGTTCATGACTAGGTCAGTAAAAAAAAAGAACAACTCAGGTTTTGTATATTTAAGTAAAATCTACTTTAATACACTTTGAAACAAGAGTACAACAAAATAGAATATACTTCAAATGTTGAATATACAAACCGTTCGTTCTGAACACAGAAAATGTCCCTTTTCTTCCAGAACAGATTAAAAGAACGAAATGTGGGGCGGACCGACCCGGCAGACTGACCCTTTGTTTAAAGTGACCAGAAATCATCAGTGGTTTTGTGTTTCTGCTGCATATTTTGCATAAACTCATCATAATCAAAACTTCTAAAAACAATGAAAATAAAGCTGATTGTTGATTTTTGACAGTTGTGGTACTTTTACCTTTTTAAAACTTGGAAGCATGCTTTAGCTCAGTCACATATGTTTGCATGTACATGCAGCCTGACTGCAGGGAAGTGAAGAACAGAGCATAAAAAATATTTACAAAAACATAAGAAATAACCTAAACTCAGCCCTTTAGCCTCCTTTAGGCAAACAGGGTTTATGGGATGCCACTTCAGTCTGCAGAACCCGTTCCAGGATTAAAAACACGTTAGAGGAGAGTCATTAATACTGTGCAGGTACAAAATATCAAAACAAAATTCAGACAAAAATCAAGGCTGCTCTGTTAACATTAGCTCCAAAAAACTGTAAAGATATATTTATATATGTATATATATATAATATGTATAAATATGTACATACTGTCTAAAATCGTTCGTGATAACTTCTCAGCTCCTTCCTCTCGCTGCACAGTGATACAAGTTCTACAAAAATAGCTGGTTTTGACATGTTTTTGTTTGTAGTGATTCACCTTTTTTATTTTTCTTCCATCTTTCTCCTACCCCCACCTTCTGTGTAGTGTTTCAGGTTGGTCCCTTTGCTTTTCCTAACAAATCCCTTTAATGTGGGAATTCAGACCCTACAGAGGTTCTGAGGGAGACCGGCTTCCAGGCAGCAAGATAGAAGTGAAATCTCAGACTACTGCTGGGAAAAATAACTTCAGAAACGTGCAAACTAGCCATTTCTGGAGTCTAACACTCTGGCTCTTCTAACTTTACTGAGTCTGGTGCTTCCAGTTTTATAACCACAGTGTTCTTAGGTTCTGATTGGACGTTTGGGACAGTTTCAGGGGCCATCTGGTTCTGTTGGATGGTTACTGGTACCTGTACAGCCTGGACCTGGACCCCTGCAGCCTTCAGCTTCTCCATGGTGACTCCCCCAGCTCCTCCCAACACCAGTTCTGTGCCGTTAATGATGCTGCTGATGATGTGAGGTGGCGCAGACACCATCTGGCTGCCTGCTGGTGTCTTGTTGCCACTTCCTGGCTGCGACACCATCAGAGTCTGCTGTTGCACCGGCGTCGGCACGGCGAGTCTCATCACCTGGGCCCCTGGGCTGACGTTGACAGGTGCCAGGGTGCGGACTGTCAGGGGGCTGCCCAGGAGGCTGATGCCTGCTGGAGAGGTGGTGACATTGGGTTTGTTGGTGCCTGCGGAGGTCTGGAGCTGACATTGAGCCAGCTGGTGGGCTGGGATGGTGATGATCTTGGCCAGCTGGACGGTGATCTTGTCTCCGTTCTCTGTTGTGGCCGGAACCATGGTGGGGATCGTCTGGATCACGACCTTTACATGTAAAACAGTCACATATCAAACTGTAATAAAGACATCTGAGAGGAGCATCTTCACACACCTTCTGCTGGGAGTTGGCGTTGGCAGCAGCGCTGATCGCTGAGGTGCTGGTGAGGAGCGGCCCAGAGCTGCCTGCTCCTGACGTTCCCGTTGACTGCTGCACAGCGACTGTAGAAATTTTCTGACCCAGTGACGTTGTCATGACGACTGGCACCTGCATTGCCACTCGCACCGTCCTGCGGAGGAAACCGAATGAGTCAAAGCTCGTCTTATAGAGGACACGGTTAGTGAGAGCCTTCGTCTCCCTGCGGGAGTTTCACCTGGGCCCGGTGGTGTTTGCCATCACGGTTGTGTGGGACTGTTGGGGTTGGCTCCCATCGAGGGCTGAAGAAACCGTTACTATCCTCGGTGCTGCTGCTGCCGTCACCACCGACCCACCTCCTGCTGATGACTTGCTGCCTGTGACAGCAGACGTCTGGACCACGTTTGCTCTGCTGGATCCCCGCAGGATATTGGGCCTCCGTGATGTCAGCGGCGGCTCAGAGGACTGGACCAACATGTCAGACGGGTGCACTCTCTCGTAGGACACAGCCGTGTCTGATACCATCACATCATCGGGGGAGGACATATCTGCTTTGTCGTCATCTATTATAACAATGTTTTTGGGCATGTCTTTGAACTGGTACACCAGTCGCTGGCCCTCCACCTTGGCCAGGATTCCACGCTGGTAATAATATCTGAGCCCAGAAGAATCATGGAGCATTAAAACTTTTCTTCAAACATCAAACCCATCTCCAAAGTCTCTGTATGTCTTTACCTGAGAGCTCGACCCATCGTCTCGTAGTTCATGTCCGGTTTGTTCTTGTGTTTACCCCACAGCTTCGACACGGCCTTAGAGTCGACCAGTTTGAAGATGCCCTTCTCCCTCTGTGTCCACTTGATGTACCTGGGACAGGTGTTTTTGTCCTGGAGGAGGTCCAGCAAAAACTCCCACAGATACGTAGTGTTCCCTGCTGGAAATCAAGGTTATCACACAACTAAACACCCACCGACACCCAAATGTCATCAGCGCATGAGCCAGAGTTGAGCCAGCTGATACCTTTGCCTTCTCTTGGTTTCTTCTTGATGCCGAGATCTGGTGAACCGTTGGAAATGGCCAACTGATGCACCTTTGGCTTCCGTCCAGCTTCAAAACAAAACCGTAAACAGGCGACGTCTCAGTAACCTCGGACCAATAAATGACTAAAGCTGACCACTAGATGGTGCTCTACGGTTATGGGTCTCCTAAATTTGAGTTGTTTTCAGGCTTCAGAGGTTAAAGATATTGGCCAGAGGCTAAATTCCTTTGAATGGCATGTGTAAAGAAGTATTAAAACCTCAGATGAAAAAGGTTTTTGGATTTTCACGGCTGGCATTTAAAGAAAATCGGATGTGTTTTACTAGCCTGGGAAAAACAGAAACCAACTTCCGGTCTAAGCCCTGGACAGCTGGTGACGTTTCACAAGGAGATCTGCTAAAACAGAGATAGTAAACGCCTGACCCCGGTGTTTCTGCGTTAGCGTTATAGCTGAGAACAATGTGTCATCAGTCAGATGTAGCTTCTGAAGCCTCTGCTAGTCGGTCAGATTTGTTTTTTTTTTCTCTGGGATACGGCGACAAGAACGGATATTGGATTACCGGAGACATTCAACAGAACTCCGTGCCCTGCAGCTGGATATCAGAACCGGAGGTGCAGACATGCTTTGGACCGTTTCACTCAGAAAACCCGCGGCCCGATTAGGACACCGGGGAGGATTCTGTTCATCTTTGGAACCAAAATCGGTAGTTTGTTAAAGTTTGTTAAATATTTCATGTCTGTGCTCCACCGGTAGCTTTCAGTTAAGTTTTCAGCTGATTAGCTCCATCATATCGTCCCAATATAATTCAGTAATCTACAGATGAGTAAAATAACATGTTGCCAGCTTTACCGCTGTGTGTATTTATTGATATAACATCGGAAAATATTTGACCGATTGCTTACCAGAATAAATCTTCCTGATGCTAACTCGCTAGCTCGGATCGTTGTTTTCTAATCCAAGATGACACAGAGGTTCTACCGGACCTATTGACCCTTTGCACCGACGTCACATAATTACGTGGGTCCACCATGGTGGATGGCAAAAGCATGTAAACAGTGAGCGACACGATTACTAAACAAAGGGAAAAGTAGAGCCTGGAATTGTTTTTGCGATCAAAACAAAATATAAACTCCTCCAGCATTCCTTCAACCAGTTCATGCCCAGTTCAGTTATCAGAAGAAGTAACGCTCTAGCCGTGGCTCATAGAGAGCGGTATGCTAACTAGCTTACCAACGTTAGCTTACCTTCTCTCTGCAGCTGTTCACCGATGTAAACATGTTGCTGACTTTGACTAAATTCACCCCGCTGGATTTATAACATTATGTTGTAAACAGCGTTTCACTTTACACCAACGGTGATTTTTAAAAAGTCCGGATCCCTACCAGCGTCTGTTGCTGGTGGTGTTACCGGGTTCAGCTGCTGCTCTCACACCGGAATGAGAAGATCTCTGAACGGCGACGCTCATATAAATAAATAACGTCATTTTAACACACGTAATCATACACTGGAGCTTTAATATTGTTAATAATTGTCTCGCTTTACACTACAGTGGACGGCGCGCATCCTCCGTGGTGAAGTACCCATCCATCAGGATTATCAATAACTAGTATGAACACATGTTGTTCATGCTTTTATTACCTCACGACTCGACTATTGTAATTCCTTTTTATTTGGTGCCAGTAAGGGTACTGTAACCCGATTGCAGCTGGTCCTGAATGCTGCAGCAAGATTCTTGGACAACAAAAGCAAGCATGAACACGTGACACCAATTTTGGCTCCTCTCCACTGGTTACCTGTTGATTTTAGAATTCGTTTTAAACTTCTTTTAATGGTGTTTAAGGCGCTGAATGGTGTGGCTCCAATCTATTTGACGGAGTTGCTGCAGCCGTATGTTCAGGCCCGGTCACTCCGCTCTGAGAACCAGCTACTGCTAAGGCCAGGTTGAAATTGGGAGGAGACAGGGCGTTCTCTGTTGCGGGTCCGAAACTGTGGAACGCACTGCCCCTAACTATTAGGGGCTCTTCATCAGTAGCAGTTTTTAAAATGAGGCTGAAGACCTACTTTTATGATCTGGCTTTTAATTCTGTGGGTTAGCAATTGTTAATGTTTTATATTTTGTAATTCTTATTTGTGGTTTTAATTATGTCTGTGGCGCTATATGTTTTATTCTTTTGTTGTACAGCACCTTGGTGGCATGCTCATGCCTGTAAGGTGCTTTATAAATAAAGGCTGAGTCGAGTTATATAAACACATCACATTTATCCCTGTCCCCGTCTTCTTCGTGAAATAAATGAACGCTAATCTTACCCGGTAAAAACATGCTCGCTGCAGTTCATCTCCGTCCTCAGTCTCCATCAAAGTTATTAAAAAGAAAAAACGAGTTGAGTTTACGTCCTTGTCTGTTAGTGCAGCCGACCACGCAGCAAGCTAAACCCATTTTACTGTCAAATCAACTAAATAAAAGCCATAAAAGACTACAAACTGGCTTGTTTGGACTAGCTTCACTGGAGTTTCTACGGGTTTAAACGGTCTTTTTGCCATCCGTCATGGCGAAGGGGGCGGTCACATGAGTGGCGTGACGTCACGTGTAAAGGGTCAATAGGAGGATCTAGTGTTGAAAAATGGGGACCATCTTTTAGATTATATCTGTGTGTGTGTGTCTCTCGTAACTTTCACAAATTACTTGTTTATTCTTTACCAGAGCTAACACGGTTAGTGCTGCGGCAATCATGCTAACGGGACTCGCCTGCTGGAGTCCAGAAGTACCGGTGCGGCTCTAAATGGATTTATAGATGTAGGTCATTATTTTAGATCAAACCTATGTTAGTTAAAAATACGTGTAGACACGGACTTATGGCTCAGACCTTTAGCTGCAGCTGTAAACGCAATTTTCTGTTTAAAGTAGGAACACGATAGTAAACAAAATACAGTGATTTACCATGCTAGCAACAGCAGCTACCTAGTATGATGTGTGTGAGTGACGTATGCAAAACACAGCTCTTCACTGCCTGGAGGAGAGAATTTCGATTTTCTGTAATGATTTATGACTAAATTCTTTAACAAAATGAAAAACTGAACCCAGTTCATATTTATATAGATGGTAAAGTGTAGTTATACTGTATTTCTACAATTTTAATGCTGAGTCTGGCCACTGACTTTAAATGAAGAGAAAACAAATAGGATTTTTAGGGCTCTCCATCAATTTGACGTGTTTTTGTACCTCGCCTCTTCTTGACGGGCTCGTTGTCGGGTTCTGGCTCTTCCAGAATGGTGACCATGTCATCATCTTCCTCACAGCACTCCTCCGTGGATATCTCCACCTCTGATTCGGCGATCATGTCCGGCCGCATGGCTGCATGGAGGAAGACCGGCGTCGCGTCACATTGTGGAATAAAAGCTTCTGGAAAAAAAAAAAGAAGCAAAAATAGTTTTTGGAACTCTGATTCCTATTTTTTTTTCAGAAGAAACAAAAAAAAAACCAAATATGTTATGCATTTGTAGTTTTAGAACATCTATGGTTCTAATTAAATAATGAATTTTTGAGTTTGTTAAAAGCTATGCAGGTCAACCAAAATTCCAGAATATCGATTAGCTTCAGCTTTATTAAAATTGGCAGGTGGGATAGCCAATCATGGCGCAGGGGCTGAGTCTTAACTGTTCAAATTGTCCATGATAATTTGTAATTTGGAGAGGGTCAAGAGTCAAGGTCGGCCATCTCATAAATGAAGCCGTGTTCTTTCACCTACACTTTAAAGGGCCTGTATGCTATTTTACAAATTAAGAACAAAGACAGGCACAATATATGATAGAACATTACTGGAGGGCCTATTGGTGTCATTTTTTTATGAAGTACAAGTTATTTTTGGGAGCCATTCCTTCAACCCGGAATCAAGACGCTTGGATTTAATGATAACCCCCGTGTGAATTCCACACAGCTGCAGACTGTGACAGTAGATCCAAGCCTGCTGCAGATTGAAGCTACCATGTCCCACTCTGCACCATGGGTGAGTGAAAGATTGATTCTCCAGCAGCAGAACAGGATTTACTGTGATAACTAAGTGGCTCGGGCATCTAGTCAGGATGCCTCCTGGGCGAGGTTTTCCGGGCACGTCCAACTGGGGGAAGACCTAAAGGAAGATCCAGGACACGCTGCAGGGACTATGTCTCATGGCTGGCCAGGGAACGCCTCAGGATTTTCCTGGTGAAGCTGGCCTAAGCTTTGGAGAGGGAAGTCTGGGCATCCCTGCTTAGGCTGCCGCGACCCGAACCCGGACAAGCGGCCGAAAGTGGATGGATAGACACTAAGCGGAATTGAAAGCACAACTTAACTTCTTTTAAAAACGGTTAGAATTGACCTGATGACAAACTGTTGCAATTATTAGATCTAGATAAAAATCACAAGGTGCTTCACAAGTAATATAAAAATGATAAAAAAAAAAGGTAAAAAAAATAAAATGAAAAGCTTTTAATGGTATGATGTCATTTCCTGGCATGTTTGTAAATATTGTATATTGTGAACAATGTGCTGAACCTTGATTTGAAGAAATCCGTGAATTGAAATCATAACTTCTGCAAGAACATTTTTGCGATACAATTTTTCCTGTAATAAAAAAACAATTAAACAAAGTACTGAATTCAGGTTTTGTGTGTTCTGCATTAAAAGTAGTTCATTAAGTAATTATTGATACCGACCAATATGTTTTTTTATATATCATCCATGCTCAGTGGGTGCTAGTAGAAAAGGGCCAGAAGTGCACTGCTCTTGTGGTCATAAATTTAAAATGGCTTTTCCACATTATAAACATATATTTCTAGCCTCAGAATATGCAACGGCAGTTTTATGGTCCTACCTGGACTGTGGTCGTCTTTCAGGTTGGACGGCGAGTCCATGCGCAGCAGAGCCTCTGCAGCCTCGATAGTTTTATCGGAGCAGTGGATGCTGGTGCCATGAACCGAAGCCTCCACTGCAACAAAATTCATACACTGAATCATTAAGTAAACAAACAAACTTTCTCCAGTGGCTCTAGAGAACACCTGTTATCCTGCTTTGTTTTAAAAATAGCCAAAATGTGTTTCTGCATCACTTCAATTAAAACATCTGCTTTTCAGGGTTTAAACAAGGCCACAAACATTATATGGAGATAGCGCGACCCCATAGCGCCCCCTAGTGTAGGGGCCACTGACGGCATTTCCTGAAACAAGACACAAACTCGAGAAATCCTGACTTTAACAGTTTGAACTGCACCTTTAGCAGGTATGTAAATCTTATCAAGACCAGAGCTGCTCAAGGATACAACAGAAAACTGTATGTCACCCTTTTCTCTCCTCGCCATCTGTCATCAAATAATAAGCAAAAACAATCACAATAACGAGATGCATGCATCTTACACTCAAAGCTTGTTGACCATATAAACTAAAATGTATAATTTCTGTATGAAAGTTCCAATGGCAGTTCCTCTGGGACCTAGACAAGGATCCCAGAGCACCTGCTGTCCTCGTCAATCAGTGGTGGGAAACATGAGAGATCATTACACCCTGCCCTGTCCATGTTTGGGAATCTAACCGTCCAGGATAGAGAAATAAGCTATCTTTAGACAGCCCACTCTCCTACAAACAGGACGTCCTGCTGGCTCATAACAGATAAATTGTCCCTGCTGTAATCTGTTGAGACAAGGACCCTTTAAAAAAACGAACCAATGTAAACACAAATCTGGCTAATGTGCGAGTTTAAAAATGCACAAAATTAGTAGGTGTTTATTTTTTTAATTATTACGAGGCGAGACAAACACAAAGTAGTTCCGCGTCTGATCATTTCCGTATTTACACTCCTCATAATTTCCCTCCAGTTCTTCTGTGAAGAAGCACGCAAATCCTCGTCACTCAGCACCCGCATCGGCCGCCTATTGGCTGAGAGTGAGGCCGAAGACCCGCCTCTGCTAAAATCTGATTGGACGATTGGAGGAAGAAAGCGAAGGGATCTAGGCCGTCCCACGCGTCCGCGGAAGACTTCAAAACCCGATTAACGAACACATTAAGTGTTAAAAATTACACATAAGACACCACAAAAGGCTGAAAACACAACTTAACGCCACGTTACAAAATAAAAAAATACGAGTGCGGAGGCGACTTTTCTGGGCGTTTAGCAAGACTTCCCGGAAAACAAATAAATTTGTTCAAATCCATAACAGAAAACAATACTAAACGATGCTATGAAGGCTGTATGTCCAATGTTTGTGTCTGTAATAATAAACACACATGTCCTTCCGACCCAGACAGCGTGGCAAAGACAACAACTACACACTTCCTGGTTGTGCAAACCGTTATTCCACATCGTCAGACTGCGAGAAGAGACAAATCTAAACATGCAACACGCGTCTCATGCACACACTAATCTACCCGCACAAATTGGTCCGGCCTGCTGCACGTTTTCTACATTTTAAAAGCGGGTTTAATCTCCGAGGGGCAGCGCCATGCAGGTCGATCACTTCCTGAATCCCTCCATTACTTCACCGAGGCAGGCGGGCTGCAGCGCTTCGGTCAAAGCTAAAAACAGCAGCGACGCGGAAACGATGGCGCTCCAGTCGCGGTTGTGAGGATATGAAAACACATTACCGGCTCTGATGAGCAGATCGAGCTGATTTTCGGGGCCCTCGTGTTTTAAAGTCGTCATGTTTGTCACCTCTCTGCAGATTCACATTGACTTCTCACTGCTCGAATCACTCCGCTGCTAAAGGGAAATCTTAAAGAGACGCATCACGGCGGCAGAAATGTATCCCTCCGCCACCGACACAGGAAATCCTCCCTCTTTTGCGTATGCGTGACGTTAATTCCATCTGCGTTTTTTTCCATTAACTTTATTTGATAAGAACAATTATATTCTTATGATGTAAAGTACCTATTTTATTATTTTACTTGCTTAAATAAAAACTCAGTGGAAAGTAAATCATAGTGTTGTTCACAATTACATATATTACATGTTTTAAAAAAATAGTCCTTTCATAAAAGATACACGGACTAAAATTTCGTTTACAGAACATCTGATACAGCTGCAATGCAAACACTCTACAGCCCCAAAAAAGGCACATTAGACAAACATTTGGTTTTTTTTCCCTCCTAAAATTTAAGTGCATCTCATTAGCTTTACACATTGAAAATGTAATGTATTATGAAAAATACAGACCCAGAAAGGTGTTTTGGGTCAGAGAAATTCTCCTCATTCATCTTTGGTGTGTTCTTGCTGTGTTGAAATTCTAATTCCATCTTTTAGTTCTTTTTAAAACACCGAAAGGTTTTATTTACCTGCAACGTTTCGTTAGCGGCAGCTGCAAATGAAACGTTGCAGGTAAATAAAACCTTTCTGTGTTTTCAAAAGAACTGAAAAATGGAATTCTCCTTATTATCAGAAGAAGCCACAGTTCTCTCCAGAACATCCACCTCTCTTCCAAGACACACGTTTGACTTATTTTATTTTATTTTTTTTGCTTGCTATGTGGAAAATGTCTGTTTAGGTCCTTCACAATTACTTTAAGTTGACTTGAATTGTGTTAAGAATTTTTTTCACAGAAGATCTCATTTATCTATTTATTCTTAACTTTATTCTTCTCGGTGTCATTTGTTCAAAGGGTCATATCAAGTCATGACAAAAACAAATCAGCTGAAACTCTTTAAAAAATCACCACAAGATGGTGGTGTAGGAACGCAGAGATCTGTCAGCAATAGATAATAGATAAAACGATTGCTGGTGTTGGGCAAGAAACCACGTTGGAACCGTCTTCCAAATAAGTAAAAAGCCACTTGGGCTAGCTCCTCAAGGGAAATCCCAAGGTGCTCCTTGGGCAACCGTGAGACATAGTCCCTCCAGCATGTTCTGGGTCTTCCTTTAGCTCTTCTCCCGTGGACGTGCCCAGAAAACCTCACCAGGGAGGTGTCCAGGAGGCATCCTAACTAGGGATGTCACGGTAACCGGTGTAGCGGTAAACCCCAGGAAAAAATGTTGATAACAATAATAACTGTCTTGTTTTTTTTTTTTAATTATATTATCTCGGTGGATTACCATGGCCTCGGTGTAGGCATGGTGACCCTTGCCAGCCACCATCTCGTCTGCTGAAGTTGTCGCACATGCGCACTTTGTAGTTTACAATCAAAGCTTTCTTTAAGCTAAAGCTGCAATAATAGCCAAAAGGGGGAGACGGCAGCACTCAGGACACCTATCAGCCCTCAAAGAAGACAAAGTTGGAAGTATGGGCATACTTTGGATATTCCTAGGGACAGTTGATAGAAGACGGCTATCCTGTTTGCAGCACGTGCAGGAAAAATGCCTGCAAAAGGCAGCAACACTTCAAATCTCATTACACATCTGCGTGACCATCACCCACAACTCTACAGTCAATGCAAGGCAAGTTAACGTTAGCCTTTTAGCTGAAATGAAACGAGTCCCCCTATAACGCAGCTGCAGTGCCCACTGGCAGCATATAAACCGTGTCACGCACACCCCCATAATGAAATGATGCTATGCATTATGGGGCTCCCAGGGGGCAGATAAGAGTTGGTCGCCAATGCAATAGATTGACTCTCATCGCATTATTATGAATTTAACAATGATTACTGCCTGATGACACGTTCCCAAATCTGCAAAGCTCACTGGAAGGACACAAACCGAGGACAACTATCCTGAGCAGGGTTTCCCCCAGTGCTTTATAAGCCTGCCCACCCGCCAGGCTAAGTGTCATGCCCCGCCCCCCTCCCCACCCCTACCGTGTCCGCTGACACGAACGTCACAACGAAACTAGAGCCATCTATCAGCTGATGGTGAAAAACAGCAGCGGAACGTGTGCAAACCCCCATCCCCGCTCTCACAGAGGAGCGCTGCGGGACGGAGCGTGCAACCCTCCTCCCCCGACAGCCGCCAGGCTTAACCCATTTTCTGGGGGAAACCCTGCTGATATAGAGGGTTTATTTAGTTGTCCAAAATTTAAAAAACATTTCTGGTGATATAATTAGAACATGTAAAATCCTCAAAAAACCAACACAAAGTTATCATGAAATAATAAATAAGAGTGTGAGATATAGATTTTTATTTTGTCCCACTGAGGAAAACAGTTTGGCCGCCCCTGATCTTTAGGCAGGGGCTGGGTAGAGTAGCCAACAACTGTACTCAAGTAAGAGCAGCACTACTTCAACATCTTTTACTCAAGTAAAACTAGCAGTCCAAGAAATTACTGAAGGGTAGAAAAGTATTTGACTAGAAGTAGGGCTGCAACAACGAATCGATAAATTCAATGAAAATCGATTACTAAAAGCGTTGGCAACGAATTGCGTCATCGATTCGTTGTGTCGCACAACTCTTCCAAAAACACCCCCCCCCCCTTCCCGCCCGCCGTTGCCAGAGCAAGTCAGATCAGCGTGAGGGAGAGCCGGCAGATCAGCGCAAGGGAGAGCCGGCATATCAGCGCGAGGGAGAGCCGCAGATCAGCCCGAGGGACAGCCAGTACCAGCAGATCAGGGCGAGGGAGAGCCAGTACCGGCAGATCAGCGCGAGGGAGAGCCGGCATATCAGCGCGAGGGAGAGCCGCAGATCAGCCCGAGGGACAGCCAGTACCGGCAGATCAGCGCGAGGGAGAGCCAGTACCGGCAGATCAGCGCGAGGGAGAGCCGGCAGATCAGCGCGAGGGAGAGCCGCAGATCAGCGCGAGGGAGAGCCGCAGATCAGCCCGAGGGACAGCCAGTACCGGCAGATCAGCGCGAGGGAGAGCCAGTACCGGCAGATCAGCGCGAGGGAGAGCCGGCATATCAGCGCGAGGGAGAGCCGCAGATCAGCCCGAGGGACAGCCAGTACCGGCAGATCAGCGCGAGGGAGAGCCAGTACCGGCAGATCAGCGCGAGGGAGAGCCGGCAGATCAGCGCGAGGGAGAGCCGGCAGATCAGCGCGAGGGAGAGCCGCAGATCAGCGCGAGGGAGAGCCGCAGATCAGCCCGAGGGACAGCCAGTACCGGCAGATCAGCGCGAGGGAGAGCCGGCAGATCAGCGCGAGGGAGAGCCAGTACCGGCAGATCAGCGCGAGGGAGAGCCGGCAGATCAGCGCGAGGGAGAGCCGGCAGATCAGCGCGAGGGAGAGCCGCAGATCAGCGCGAGGGAGAGCCGCAGATCAGCGCGAGGGAGAGCCACAGATCAGCGCGAGGGAGAGCGGCAGATCAGCCCGAGGGACAGCCAGTACCGGCAGATCAGCGCGAGGGAGAGCCGGCAGACTTGCGCTGCTGCGAACCGGTTCCGCCCAAGGCCGGATTAACTGGGCAATTGCCCAGGGCCCACGAACTCTAAAGGGCCCAGGGCAAGAGCACAATACTGTATCTATAATTTCCCGCTTTATGAGGACTATGGTGACCGTACGTTCTGTTTTCCCCGGACATGTCCACTTTTCACTCTCTGTCCGGGCGTCCGGACTGCGGGTTCTTGTATTGATGAAAATGTCCGGCTTTTCATCCAGGAGCAGGGATCGAATTATGGGGGAGCTGTATATCCTACACATCCAGGGGAGCCGGAAAAAAGTTTTCTATATTATATCATTTTTGGACTCTTTTGAGCAGAGAGCGGCACAGCGCATTGTTGCGCAGCAATCCAGGCAGCTGCTTCCAGCACATGGTCCATTCTCAAAGTGGCGCAACCAAAAAACTATAATTAGCACACAATCGTTCATGTAGTCTGCACATGTTCTCTATTTTCTGTCTTATCTGTGCCTGAAGCACGCTACTGCGGAGCTCATCACCTGTGCTGTGGTGATGTCACCTCACGCAGCATCGAAAACGCGCTCTGCGCTTTGCGGTCAGGAGATCCCTTTGATCTGCTCAAAAGTAACTGATGAGGTGAAAAGGTAAGAATCCTGGCAACAGTTTTTTCTGGAGAGTTTAGAGGAAACGCAGAAAGATGAGAGACAGACAGGACAGGAAAATAGTTGAATAAAAACAAGAAAACAAAACAAAGTGTTGAAAAGTAAAATGTAGGTAGATTTATCTCCACTACACGTTTTTACCAGTAAAAAACAACAAGTTAAACACATGTAATATTTATACATCTGATACAATTCAGATCACCTTCAAAACTCAGTCACACACCCAGGGCCGTTTCAAGACATTTTGGGGGCCAAGGCAAAATGCCCCCCCCCCCCCCCCCCCAAACTGGGCTCCCCAGAAGCCTCTGTGTAATTCATACCCTCTCCAGTAGTGTTAGTTATACAGTGTTTGTAAAAACCCCTCAAACATTACTGACATGTTCTAATATTATCAGATGAAAAACTAAATTATCAGACATGCTGTCTCATCTGCTTCTTTTCTAAACTTGCAAAAAGTAACAAAACCATTTGAAAGCCACTATTTGTGGATTCTCTGAAAGTTTCCATGGAGTGTGTGACAACTTATTTTTTCATTGATCCTATCGTCTAATCTCACAGCTGAAACAAGCATCCTTAATAATCTGTGCACAGGAAGCTTACCGATGCTGTAGTAAAACAAAAGGTATAATAATTTATTATTAATAAAACCTTGTTGCAGCACTAAAGCAGAAAAATGAGATTTTGCATTAAATATGCAAAATATTTACATATGAATTGTTTTAGAGCCCTTTTATTGGCAGAATCTGATATTAATTTAGTTCTTACAAAAAATGGGTCCCAACATGGGCGTTGCCATAGTGTGACGTCATAGGCACAGATCCCCTGTCCTCTTGTTTGGAAATGGAAATATGGTCACCCTGTATTGAACAAACTGTCCACCCGGGCTTTTGCGCTGCACAGCGACACTTCGCTGCCTATGACTGAACGTCAGTTGAGAGTCAGTCTCATGCAGACTGACCAATGAAGAGAGGGTCTCAAGTTAAGACCCTCTCTTCATTGGTCAGTCCACACGAGGTGGGTCAAAGGTTACTCTGGGCGGGTTACGTGTTGTCAGGCATTCAAGTATTGAGTATATTTACTGCATATTACAGTAAAATATTCTGTATGTGACCACATTATGGTGATCCTCGGGTCGTGATGATGGAGCCCTTGAATATTGTTGCCCAGGGTACAACAAAGTGTTAATCTGGCCCTGGTTCCGCCGTCACATTCCCACAGAAACTGGTTGATCACACCGGGGCCAGACTACTAGCATGTGGTTTTACAACCACAATGTCCTCGGAAGCAAAAACGCTTTTAAAAGGGAGGGAGGAGTCCTAACTGTTGCTGCAGGCGTGTTGTGTGTGAGTGCAGTTATATACTGGTTAATATATTTTTGGGTTCAGTTGCTTTCATGTGGCCTAATGTGAGTCTATTTGGGATCATTGGAATGATCAGCAGCATTTCTTGATGTGACTTTATGGCAGTTGCCCAGGGCATCATCGCAAGGAGGATGGCATTCATTTACTTTTGTTTTATTTGGTATTTTTTCAGTCATTTTTGGAAATAGTGATCAATTTTGATTAATTCACAGCCTATGTTTAATTACATTTAAAAATTAGTTGTTTGACATCCCCAGTTATAATAAATGTCAACAGATGAGATCAGACAAAACAGATGAGAATTGCCCTTAAGCTGTTTAACTTGGACCAAGCATTTTAGGTCACAGATAGATGTAGCTTAGGGTCTCTGTCTATACACCTTATAAGACAATTTAGGTGATGGCATGTTGTTTTTCTGCTATTGAACTGTTTTCTAATAATGTAGTGTTAATTAAAGTGAAGGAAGGAGAGAAATAACGTTTCCCTAGCAGTTTTAGAAAATTTTCCCATGTAATCCGATTAATCGATTAATCGTGTCGAGACCCCATCCGATTCATCGATTATCCAAATAATCGTTTGTTGCAGCCCTAACTAGAAGGCTACTTGAGTACTGAGTATCATCTGATCTCATATTTTTAAAATGATGACATCAAACAGCCAAAAAATAAGAAATTATGGGCAAATTTAGGTATTTTAAAGACTAAAGGGGAAAATGTAAACAAATAACACACATAATTACAAAATAACAAATATTAGGCAAAATTTAAACATAAACTGAAGACAATATTTTCCTGATATAGAGTTTATTTAGTTGTCTGAAAATGTAATAGGTTTTCAAAAAATACCGCGATAATATCGAAAACCATGATAATTTTGGTCACAATAACCGCAAGGTTAAATTTTCACACCGTGACAACCCTAGTCAAAAGCAACAAGTAAGGACTCATAGCATCGGTAATGACGTCACGATCACAAGCCCTATAAAGAAATATCAGTGTAATTATTTAGTTCAATGCAAGGAAACTAAAGTTTTTTTTTTCCTAACTGTAGCCTACAGAATGCGCTTATAAGAACGCAATCGCAAGCAGCGCTGTGTGTTTGATGCCAGACCCAAGCCACCATAATCAGAGGTGTGGACTCGAGTCACATGACTTGGACTCGAGTCATTATTTGAATGACTTCTGACTTGACTTGATACAATTTATTAGGGATGTCCCGATCCGATCACATGATCGGAAATCGGCCCCGATCACGTGGTTTCAGACTGATCGGGACTCGGGCTTTACTTCCCGATCCAAGCCCCGATCCGGACTCGGATACTGGGTTCAAATTACAGGAGAGCAACTTGTTCTCCTTAAAGGTTGTCAGGCTCCCCTGATGCCCTTACCTTACACACCCAGAAGGAGCAAAAAGATCCAGTTTCTACCTATATTATATTATTTATAT